TAATGTTGTAAAATAATTGTTAAATCTGATAATATTCAAATATGCACAAATCCAATAGAATTTATACCAAATCAACTCAAATACTTCCAAAATATAAACAATAAAAATGTATGACATACGAGATATCAAAACTTCAATTCAATATGCTTTTTGCTTGCATATAATCAAGATTCTTGACCAACAAGATTGTGCTCTGATTATCACTATAATATTTCTTCTCTCGAATATCAGTGTTTTATCTGTAGTGCCTCATAGATAACTCAATATCCATTTTAGTCATTCACAATGTTACATTTTCAGAAATATTCATAAATCGGCTTACTCTCACTACATTTGCAATATTCGGTATTGTACCAAACATGATGTATATTAAACTTCCTATGGCAGATGTATATGGAACATTACTCATATTTGCACACGCTTCAACTCATTTTTACCGAGTCCTTATTTGACAACTTGAAGTGACTCCCTAAAAGCGTGCTCACGGGCTTTGCCTCTTGCATGTTGAACCTCCTTAGAACCTTATTTATATACTCTCATATTGAAACCTTACAAAGACCCAATCTCTCACTCCCTTAGTTTCGAGTTATTCACATGCTTAAAATCTACTTTGTTTTTTCAAAACTTTCATCAAAAAACTTTGCATAAATGGCTACTTTAGCTTCACAAACTCTTTGAGCATAAAACTTTGTCAATAACATATCGTCCATATATAATAGGATTATTATATATGTATAATCAAACCTCTTAAAGTAGTAGCAATAGTTTTCTCGTAGCATTTCACAACCAATCTAGTCTTATATCGTTTACTCTAATTTGTTATGCAGTACTTTTTTGTCATCTAAAAGTTCATTCAACTCATACACTTGGATGGTCATGACAAATTCATCTTATTTTTTACAACATGTTTGAACTTGTCAGCTTCCTCATTAGCCTTGATTTATGCATAATATTTTGGTTCGCCACTGTCAGTAAAGAGTAAATAATGAAGAATAGGCGAGTACCTCTTTGGCGCACAATGTTGCCTCTCAAATCTTCTCACTATTATCGACGACTTTTGTTCAACTTTTGTGAGGATCTCAACACTTTCAATAACGGGGTAGCGGCTCGACCACCACATCAAATGCACTCCGATGAATCTGAACTTGGCTGCTCAAACTCATGTTGGAAATATCAAACTCAATAATCTCCAAATTCATTTTGATTTCATCGCTTGACCTATCTTTGTACAAAACCTACTCATAAAAGATACATCACAAACATGTATGATATCATGATTATTTTCATCCAAAAATATGTACCCGAACTTCATTATCATAGCAAATAACGCGCACTTTATCAAGTTTATGTCTAACTTTATCTCAGTATCAAATTTGACATATGCAGTACAACCGAAAGTACGTAAGAAAAAAAAGATTTATCGGTTTTCCAATCTATGCATCCTTTGGAATATCAATATTTAATAGCATCGATTGACCTTCATTTATCAAGGGTGCTGCCTTATTAATAGCATCGGACTTGGAACGTGTCTTACGTTATCCTGTCTCCATTTACCTCCAATCGGTGTTTTAATTCGAGTTATCCATTTTCCTTAAATTTTTAGTGGATCGTCATAAAAAGTTAGACAATATCAAAAGTTTCTGGGCGTGTAGGATTCCATGATTTTTGAATCACTACACTAATAAAACGATGCTCCAAAGTCCAAAACCATGACTCTAATGGATTGTTGACACTTATAATCAACACATCGGATATATCTTCCGCCACGTTTTCCAAATTCTGATTCTTCTTCGCCACAGTATCATTTGTATTGCAATTATCATATTTCTTACCTTTATATTTAAGTCTTGATTTTGACCTTTTACAACCTTTCCTCCTCGTCTCAATGTTTCTATTAGGTTGAATACTTTTCGTATCAGGTAAACTTTATTCACAATGGTGGGTTACTTGTACATATCTGACGAGATCCTTAGAACTTCTCTCGTGATTTTGCCTTAACTGTGTGAAATGCGACGCTCAATGTAAGAGTAAGTCAAATCGCACTCATCGACTTCTTATAGATGGTTTCGTCCATATCTTAAGATTTTTTCGCTAGCGCCACCTCTAAATCCTTGCAACGAATATAATCTTTCATCTACATCTTCTAGAATCCGAAACCGAACTCTTGCAGAATAATCGCTTGTCCTTTTACGGATCGAAAAAAAAATCAAGGCAAAAATTTGAGATTTGTTTGGTTGTGATTTCAAAATTAAACCACTACCGGTTATTAATAATTAAAAAAATACACTATTTTATCTATAAAACATCGTATCAAAATATTATTTATATAAAAATTCAAATTAACACTTTATTTCAAATTAATTTTAAACCACAACTAAACAAATTAAATAAAAAATTAAACTTTTAGCTTGAATAATAATTTAAGTACAACATTTTAAATAAAAAAAATATATTTTATATAAAATATGATTAAATATAAAATAGATATTATAGGACATTTTTAAATAAAATTGTATTTATAGAAGAATCAATAGAATAAAAATAAATGTGAAAAATATCACACATTCTTAATAAATTCACACAATATATTAAATTGTAAGTTAACGAGGGTAAATGACTAATTCGAATTCAAACGCGTGGTAATAATAGAGATTGGTTTTCAACGACTAAAAATACTTTCTTTCATTCTCGCGTGTAACCCCGCACTAATATAATAAGATATTTGTTCCAACCATCCATTGTCCCACGAAGCAAAAGAAATAATAAAAATAAAAATAAGAGAATTGTCCGAATACCCTAATTCCACTCCGTGTGTCTGCTGCGTCCGTCTATCGGAAGGTAGAGAAGGGATCCTCTTGTCTGGGAAACGGAAAACGAAGGAGATGGAAAATAATAATAATAATAATAGTAGCAGTGGCGGTGGCGGTGCCCCAAGTGGAGCCGCCGCCTCCTACTCCTACTCGTACTGCGAGAAGATGGACGGGCTGGCTCGGTGGCTTGGCACCAGCGTGGCGGCGGCCTTCTTCGCCTCGCTGGAACGCTGTTCCTGCATCAATATCGACGCCGACGGCGATGACGAGGCCCACGATCGTCCTCTGATTCTTACGAGGTTCCCCTCCATGGATAATTCCGCTGCCGCCGGCAATCCTGCTCCCTCTGCCGCTGCATAACCAACTGCAGGCGGCCATCATCCTTAATTTCCTTGAACCAACCAATTAAGTGCATCTATCTATATCAAGACATCCCTTTGATTCTCCGCCCCAATCATACATACGTACATTACACAGTGTTTGCAATAAGCTCGCACGTACTCTCTAAGTCTTTTTTTTTTTTAATGGCGTCTTTATTAGCTTAACGCCCATGGCCTGTTGTTGATGTTGAAGGCATTAATGTATCGTGGAAATTAAGCTATGGAACCCACCCTGTTCATCATGCATGGTGTGGTTTTATACTTGTATTTGCATTTGCATATGAAGCTGGCTGGCTAGTCCCTAACATGTATGTCAGTATGTGTGTATGTGTATGTGTAGTAATTGGCATCCATTTGTTTTTGTTTTCTATGTTTTCCATTAGCAACAGGAAAAGCACCCTCCCTACAATTCCATTCATTCCAGGGCGGCTGCCTGCACTATTTATAATTCAGTAGCGTGTTGTCATCCATTTGTTTTTGTTTTTGTGACTGAGGTCTCTCTCTGTCTCATTCACAAAGCACAAGCTAAGCTAGATTTCATTTTGGGCAAATGGCAGGCTGCAGTCAGCAATAAACCAACAGGTCTCACTCTGGGCTGAAAACTGCATTTCAACAATTAATGCCATGCCATGCCATGCCTCTTTTGAATTCCATCCTATAATATATAATTTGAATGTGTATCAATAAAGTTCTGAATCAGCTTGGGAAACCTGCTTGGTCTGGTCCTGTTTGCTTGCTCGATTGCATTCCCAACCAGTCCAGGCCTCCGCTGGAGAGGCATCCTATTCCTGTCCATCCATGTGGGTGTGGGTGTGGGAGGCTCTGCCCGGGGGCCTTTGAGCTCAGTCTCAGAAGGTATCCAACCATCCATCCATCCAATCCCGGTAGTCAAGGCCACCCTCTTCTTTTTGCCTGCCTGAGCTCTGCCTCTGCCTCTACCCCTGCCCCAAAGATCCTGATTAGTAAGATGCTAATGATGCGGTGCGCCCAGATAACACACTGCACTCTTAATTCTATAACCCAGAGAAGGACTTCTCTATCTTATGGTCTTATTAGAGAAAGGAAAAAAAAAAAAAAATTGGTAGCGTGAGCTTTCTTGCTATTGTGATGTGATGATCATGTAGTTGAACAGATTATAACGTCAGTTGCTCTCTCAGTCAGAATGAACTCCAGCAAAAGGGGCCTGCCTAATGCTTGAAAGTTGAAAAGGAAGAATTCAGGGATCAGAAGGAGGATTTGGACTTTGGAGAGGGTTCCTCCATGGAAATTGGAATGAACATGCATATGTATAACAATCAACAATCGGAACAAGAGTTGCAGTTGCTAATTTATTGATTGGACACATTTATAGAAAGTATAATGAAGCCCAATCTTGCAACTGAGCTTGCATGTGTCTGGTATAAGAGTGAGCGTAGGCTAAATCTCGAGTTTATGTGCAAGTCTCATATACTTTTCGTTTGCGGATAGTTATATTAATGATGAGTTTCCTCGCAGCTTTTATGCGACAATATGTGGTTTTCAGAACGTGGACACAATTAAATTATTCAAACGTGTGCTGCTGCTTGCTTGCTACAAAGAACTTAAAATCATGAAAATACTTGTGAATAATAGAATGGATTCTGTCCTTCCTTCTTCCTGATTTCTTCTGGGCTGGAGTGGTTGATTTCAAGATAAGAAATTGTTTGAGCTCTGTTGCTGGATCGCGAAATTAAATTAAATGCTACTATCATGCGGGTTTGGATCCTATCTTTGAAAACAGTACTACTAATTAAATTAAGGATTAATTTATGGGACGGGGAGGGAGTAATCCCGTCCAAGTCTCCAGTTCATCAGTTCAGGGTCAGCCCAGCACAGCCCAGCCACAGTAGGGTGTCCTGGATTTCTGCATACACGCGCACAGGCTTAATTTCCACTTGGCTTCTCAAAGATTTGACGATTCCACTTTGCCAATTTGTCTCCAGGGAGACTCTAGACCAGAGCTTGCTCTTTCTCTCTCCCTCTCTCCCGTCCGCACCGCCAACTTCCTCTCGATGCGGCTCTCTCTCTCCACTGCTAAGTCCGGGTCCACCTGGTTGGACCGCCTCCGAACAGCCAAAGGCTTCCCCGACAACGGCGTCACCGATCTCGACATTTTTCTGAAAAACCCCAATTTCCCCAACCCTCAAAGCCTCGACCCACGCTCGTCCGATCCCGACACACCCATTTCCGACACCTCCCCAAATGAAGGCAAACAGTTCTTCGACATAGTCACCGACGCTCTCCATGAGCTATTCAATTTTGGGGACAAATGCATTAGTAATTCCACAAAATTCAAAAAATCCACTCGCAAACAGCCAAACCCTAGAATTTGCGCATGCCCTAATAATCGGGCCCATGGGAATCACAATGCAGCTTCGGAGAAGGTTACATTGCTGAGGAGCGCGGATAGCAACAGTGGAGTGGAGGGAGCCAAAGTGTTGGATAAATTGGAAACTGATGAAGGGGAACGGGTGGAACGTGATGTCGATTTGGCAGGGTTTTCAAGAACGGAGGTGACGGTAATTGATTCCAGTTACGAGTTGTGGAAATTTGAGAAGCTGCTGTACAGGAAGAAGAATGTGTGGAAAGTGAGGGATAAGAAGGGGAAGAGCAGCGAGGTTACGAGGAATAACAAGAAGAGGAAGACGAGCGGGGAAGTGGAGGAGGATCATCACGGGAGAAAGAAGTGGAAGAAGAGCCATAAGAAGGAGGGGAATGCTGAGGCGTGTCAATTGCCACTGAATGAAGTAAGTTTTGAAAATTGTTGGTTGATGATGTACAGTGTGTGTGCTTTCTGTTTGTTTGCTTGTTTGCAGTTTTGCTTAGATAACTAATCTGAGCCAAGTTTAAGTGATTGACAGATTTTTCTGGTGGTGGTGATCTTTATGTTTATTGGTTTCGAATGGTACGGTGTAGTATGGGTATGCATAACAAACAATGGGCATCTGAGCTGAGCTGCTGTTGTTCACATTAAACTCACTAAGATGATCGTACCTGGTCGGCAAGAAGGAAAATCACTCATATCATATCTTTATAGTACCATTTATAATATATGATACTTTTACAGCTTGTTGTAAGATCCTTGTCACTAAATGGGGTATGGGGTGACTGGGAACATCTTTTTTAATATCTGTTTATTCAGCAGAGGTGAATTTTTGTCAAAAGAATTCACAAAGTTTTGTGAGTTCCATGGCATCCGGCTACCTATGACGGCACCAAGAACTCTTCTAGAGAATTAATCCATTTTCATGCAAAAAATCAAGCTGCTGTATGCGGTATCGATGTGTGCCTTGTATATGTATGATCTCTGTTAATTCTATTGGATAAATTGGCTTTTTATATCTATAAAGTCAAAGCCCTTTTCTTTTGGATGTCAGGGAATGTAGGCCTTCTTCAAACTCCTGTGTTTTCAATCAAGCCTATGACTGATTATTATTATTCCGACTTCTCCTGCTTATAAAATTTGAGATTCTTTTATCAAGTATTGTGAGATACTTTGGAACTTTCTAAGATAGTGTGTCTCAGCTGGGAGCTGCAGACATGTCCATGGGTTTTGTAGGCTTCAGTTTGATATATTTGTCTTGTGCTAACTCTTTTGTTGCCTGGCTCGATCCTTGTCAATCAGAGGAATAAATCTGAAGTTGAGCAAGTTGGCCGAAGACCTGGTGTTGAAAAGAGTCAAGCAGGCCAGTAAGGAATCCTATCCTATGTTGTTGTTTAGGTCTCTTGCTGAGCTTCCTTAATGGTGTCACATTATTAATGGGTTTGATTGTCCAGTGAAGTAGAAGATGGAAGCGCATCTGTGATCCTGATAAAGAGCATAGGTAGTGGGAAGAAAAGAACGAACAAGCAGCAGCAGCAGCAGCAGCTCCTGAGCCAAGGCAACGTGAAGTCGAAACAGAAGGAAAATGAAAAGGAAAGGGAAAGTTGAGCCAAGTTGGGGAGGGAATTGTCGAGATGATTTGATTATTCGAGGGGTCTTGTGATACTTGCTGCAGTATATTTTTGGTCACTATAGCCAAGCCATGCTATTGCAATTGTATGTATCATCTGATTGTTGTTGTTATTACTATGAGTATGATTATGAGTTCACTGGGATTGGGATTGGGATTGGAATTGGAATTGCCTCCAACAGTGGAGATTTGTTGCTTAATTGCATACCTGCACTCACCAGTTATTTCATTTCATGTGTATATTTGCGGAGGAGGAGGAGGAGGAGGAGGAGGAAATAATGGATGGATGGATATTAGTATACACTATTATTATTATTATTCTTATTTATTATTCAGTCATAGATTAACCACCGATCAGTATTGATTTGAGGCTGGAAAGTGGACTGAAAGCCACAAGCAAACAGCGAAAATTCGAAAAATAGAAAAAGGGTAGGTTTAGTTAATGGAAGAGTCTTATCCAAATCCATTCAGCGAGTTCATGGACCGGTGCGTCAGCCAACCAGTCAGTCAGTCTGTCAGTCCCTCCGACCAGCTGAGCTGAGCTGAGTCGCCTAACATTCGCCGCCATCCATCATCGTCATCGTCGTCCATCGATGGCAGCAAATGTCTTTCTTCTGCACACCGTATCTCGGCTCCGAAGCTTCTTCGCAACCTCCCTCCCTTTCACTAACCAAAATCAAAATCAGAACCAAAACCCCTGTACCTCCGTCCCTCCCGCCTCCAAATCCCAATCCAAATCCAAATGCCAATCCACATGTTTTCCCCTTTTTATTAGCCACGCTGTCACTGTCAACGGCGCCCACTCCGCTCCCATGTTCGCCGACTCCGGTATGTATGTATGTATGCATGTATGTATGTCTAAAGAAGCTCTAAAAGTAAACAAACAAAGCATAGATATTTATGCGTGGGACTTCGCTTAGGTCACAACTTGTCCTTCGCGTTTTTCTTCTCATGTTCCGTTCCGAAATGTTAAAAAGAGTTGTTACTTCAAGAATGCCGTTAAATGACGCACTGAAGCTTCTTTATTGATCTTTATGCTCTCGTTTACTATCCTTTAGGAATCATGCTATTCCTGCTGTTTCAAGAAATGGGGTTTAACGACAAAGACGCTCGAGTGATTCTGGATACGAATGCAGCTCTAACATACTTACCTAGTGATCATATTCGTAGTAGAATTCAATTACTGCAATCCGTTGGACTGAAGGGTCTTGCTCTTTCGCGAGTAGCACTCAAACGTCCCGACGTATTAACAGCTCCAGAAATTGATGCAATCTTATCTGTCATAGTTGATGGTGATGATTTAGATTTGAAAGGGAAAATTGAACCGGCACAAATCGAGCGGCTGCTGACTGGTACTGATCCTAGATTTCTTGTGGGATTTGAGACGAAACTAAGGTTGTTACTTCAATTTGGTATTCCCAAAGAGAAGCTTGGCAAGGTGTTGAACACTGTTAATTTGGCCAAAGCTCTGTGCTTCAAATCTTCAGAGGAGATGGAGAGACTGCTTGCGTTTTTACACCCTTTTGGGGGTGCAGATTTGGTCCTTCGATGGCCGGCAATTCTCAATTATGATTTGGACAGTCAATTGATGCCAAGAATTGGATACCTCTTGGAGTTGAGTGGGCAAGATCATCATGCCACTGCCACAGTGTTGCGTAAGTTCCCGTCTGCTCTGGCATATAGCTTGGACCATTTGAAAGATCACGTCGAGTTCTTGAAGTCGTATGCGGGCTTGAGCTATGAGGAAATTTTTAGGGTTATTCTTGTTTATCCAAGTCTGTTCAGTGCTAGCAGAAAGCGGAAATTGCATCCAAGGATTGACTTTCTTAAACAGTGCAAGCTGAGTTCCGGTGATATATATAGGTTTTTGATCAGAGCTCCTTTGTTCCTCAGCCTGTCATTTGAGGAGAATCTTGCAAATAAGTTGGTCTTCTTGGTGAAAATTGGTTATAAGAACAGAACGAAAGAATTGGCTATGGCAATGGGAGCTGTGACCCGTTGCAGCTGTAAGAATTTTCAAGCAGTTGTTGGAGTTCTGTTGAGTTATGGATTGAGTTGCAGGGACATATTGGAGATGAGCAAGAAACATCCACAAGTGCTGCAATACAACCATAAGTCGTTGGAGGATAAGTTGGAATACTTGACACAGGAAATGGGCCGTGAAGTTGGAGAGCTGTTGTCCTTCCCTGCATTTCTTGGTTACAAACTTGATGGTCGAATCAAACATCGTTATGAAGAAAGGAGGAAGGTTTTAGGTGAAGGCATGTCAATCAACAAACTACTGAGTGTTTCAACAGCAAGTTTTGCAAGTACAAGCAGGAAGAAACCAATTTCTGAGGCGGATGAGAATGAGGAAGAAATGAGTCAGAATTGAAAGGAGTTGAAATGATTGAAACACATCTGGGCCTTGTGTGCAGACAGTAGTGGCATAGCTCATAGCTGTTTGTGAGTGAGTGAAAGTGTAGTATAATGTATTTGATTGATGTCTGCTCACTCCAAAGGCTATAATTATATACATGTATGCGTATGGTGGATGATAGATAGATGCGTCACGCCTGTAGAGTAGAGAGGGGCAAGGGCAAGCATGCATATTTATTTGGAGAGATGGATTGCAGATGGATGGAGGACTGGAGAGCTAAGCCCAAGCCTAAGGCTGGCACACATTGGATTGACTCATTCAAGTAGTCAATCTATCAGATAGGTAACTACTAAGAGAGCTTCTTCGCCTCATATAAAGTAGAATAATTACACTGGCATTTCTTAACCAAGGAGGAAAGGCAAAAGCTTTCATGCTGTTGAATTAGTGCCATAAAGTTGTGTGTCTACTTCCTCCTTTCCGTCTCTCATTTATTAAAGTTCAAAGTTCACCGTTTCCTCCATAGGATGCCATCCATCTTCTTGTAAAAAGGGTATGCAAGAGTAGTAAGTAAAGTCATCGGGGTGGGTCTGTCACTTCCCACTATTGAGTATCCATCTCTTATCTGTCTGGACCTGCCCATACGCACGCCCTATAACAGTGTGCTTCTTCTTCCCCTTGAAGAGAAGAGAAGAGGCATACATCCAATATCCATCCATCCATATCCATATCGTGACTCTGGCGATATAGTTCTTTCTTAGTCCTAGCCAGCGGCAGCCTCAATTTTGCATTCCTGATCTCTTCCACCAATCATCACCGCCACCATGTCTCAAATCCATGAGAAATCCCCCAAGCACTGTGCAGCCCTCCAGAGGAAGAAGCTGCTGCTGCTGCTACTCTCTTGGCTGTTCATTCTCACTGCATTAATCATCATTGCCATCCTTGTCATGCTCCTCCTTGTTTGGCTGCTCATCCTGCACCCTTGGAAACCACCCCAGTTTTCTATCCGGGAGGCTAACCTCATCAACTCCTCCTCCGCAATCCACCTCACTCTCCTATCACACAATCCAAACAAGATGTTCCTTGGAATATACTATGAGGACTCCCGAGTGCATGCGTCTTACAAGGGCCGCAGAATCACTCCCGATACACCAGTAGCTCCCTTCTATCAAGGGCCCCAAGGGACAAAGATTCTCGGCGCAGCGCTGCTATTAATGGTTCGGCAGCAGCGCAACACTAGCAGCACAGCAGGAATAAGGAACAAGGCGTTGAGTTTCAAGGTAAGGGGCATGCTAAGATGGAAAGTGGGATCATGGGTATCTGGGAAACACAGATTTAGTGTGAACTGTGCAAGAGTTGCACCTTCATCATCTTCATTAAGTTGTTCAAAACAAGGAGGCACGGATCAGTGTTGGACCACAATCTGACAGGGGAGTGAATCCATGGGATATGTTATTGTTGTTATACTTGTAGCTAGCTGATCAATGAAAGAATCATAATCTGTGCGTGTTGGGTATAGTATGTTGCAGCAGGATCCAACTGGTGGTGCACTGAAGCAGTAGAGTGGTGTAAAATTGAGAACTGAATCAGTGGGCCTACTTTCTCTCAACTCAACTTTAGTGTGCCTACTTTCTTTTTGTGTTGCCTATAGAGAAAAGACTTGGATTTTATTTGAGTGCTGGAGGGATATTCAAATGCACAACCTATTCGGTCTTACTCTGAAAATAATGTTACTCATAATTATAATTAGGCTCGGATCACAATCTACTCTTGCACCAATTAGCTCCAACTCATCAAATGAGGCAACATCTACAATGACAGATTGTTGGTGGTTGACACAAAGTTATCCAGAACCTCAAATAATCCCACGAAGATTGAACGGCACACACCGAAGGTTTGGGATAGAAACGAAACAAATCCGGACAAGCACAAAGCAAATCAGGAGAAATTTGATGAAGAACAAGATGGGACATGATCAAATTAAGCAAACATGAAACAACGTCCTACACACGCAGAGAATTTCTCACATAGTACATTAATCCATTTTCCATTTTTTTTATTCTCTTGAGGAGTTTTGAATAAAATCTAATGATTAGGAACAAAACAAATCTTATCAACCCCGCCGATAATGGAATAACTATCATATTCTAACCGGGATTGAAGAGGATAAATACAAATTTGGTTGGATCTGAATAAAATCCATCAAAACTGACTTTGAGTGAGATTGAATCGAAATTGGGTTTTGTGTCACGACGGATTGGATTTGGGGTCGGACCGGAACACGTACAAATAGAATGAATGGATACTTACATAAATTGGTGAAACAAACATGTTATATATAAAAAAAATGTTATATAATCATATGAAGTATTAACACAGAGAAGAGAAGATGTTATTAAGAGTACATTGTCTTCCTATCACAATGACGATTAATAATGCAATTAACTTTAATTAATATTTTTTTCCTTCCTTAAATTTAGTTTATCAGCTGAATTTATTTTATTATTAACTTCGATAAATATAAAATATAACTTTTAATTATTATATTCTATTCAATATTTATTTTCGATAACTATATTATATATTATTTATCTTTTTTTGTTATTTTTTTTTAGATTTTTATAATTAACTCAAATTATTTTATACTTTTTAATAAAAAGATATTGATATTATTTTATTTTTTGGACAATGCAAAATAAGCTAAAATTGAAAAATAGTATACATGATTTAACCAATAATAATAATAATAATAATTAAGAGAAAAAATTACAAAATTTTAATATACTTTTAATTAATTAATTTGGTTCAAATATATAAAATAAAATTAATTGATTTTTGTCGATGCCCTAGAAATAGGTGAACTGATCCTTCACCGTAATTTACCGTATATTTAGCAATGTGGATAATATTCAATAGATTCCGTAATAATAATAATAATAAGAATCAAAATTTTATAATAAATAGAAGGCAAGAAAAGGTTTCGTTCATTTGTCAGATTTCAATGGATCTGTCTTCTTCGTCTTCCTCCAACTCCTCCTCCACTTGCCCTATTTGTTTTCGAAGCATCCCGTCCCTCCAACTCCAGAGGTGAGTCTCAGGAACTGACTGAAATATTCGCGCAGCTTCATCTCTCCTATTCTCCTTCTCCTTTTTTTTATGCTCTTACCACTTTCACATTTTATCCCGCAGACATGCCAACGATCATTTCGCCGATGAAGATGAAGAAAAAGAAGATTGTGGCCCAAATTTCGTATCGCCGCACCAAATCCCTTCTATTCCCCCGCCCCCCTCTCCGATTGTACGTTCTTTACCCCTTATCAGCCTGTCTGTATCTTCATACGGATTTCCATTTTACAATTATTATATATCACGGTATAAAATTTATAGATGAATATGTGATCAATTAGAGTCAGTCGCTTATCGACCTCCACACGAATTCTAGTGACAATCAATTCGAGCAAAACCATAGGTTTACTTGTTGGGTATATATTCTATGTCGGGCAGTTTACATAAATACTCTGGATGGTTTCTCTTGCTTCTTCTAATGGCATCTTCAATATCAATAAGAAGACAATTCTTTTATGGGCAGGCTGATGGTTTATTGGAATGCACAAGTTCTTGGGACAATCCTCAACTTCATAGTAGTTCTTATGAAGGGGGAGATGTTGATGAAAGAATTGCTTCTTTGATCGGCTCTTGGAATAAGGAGACATTCTATGTGGTTGAAGGTGGCTTGATGACTTTGTTGAAAAAGTGTTTGGAATTAGAATCAGGAAAGACCTTAACTGTGTTGTCTGGGCATGTTGATCATTTTCAGAGCATCGAATCCTGGGATGTTGGCTGGGGATGTGGTTGGCGAAATATACAAATGCTTAGTTCTCATTTGCTCAGCCAACGACAGGAATCAAGGGAGGTCCTCTTTGCTAGGTCTGGCTTTGTGCCTAGTATTGGATCGCTCCAAAGATGGCTAGAATTAGCCTGGGAAAAAGGTTTCGATACTACCGGCTCAAAGGATTTTGGTCAGAAAATTGTTGGCAAGAGGGATTGGATAGGAACCACAGAATGTGCTGCCCTTTTCCGTTCCTTTGGGGTGCGTGCTAGGATAGTGGATTTTTCCACCAAAGATTTTGAAGTTTCTTGGTTAGGCTTGGGCAAGAGGAAGAGCACCCAGGTGTATGGACCAATGGACACATTTCTCTCAAAGGGGAAGCTAGATTTATCACCTGCAGTTCCTTCTCGAGAAGAGTTCCGGCAGCAGCCTAACATTTCTTCTGAGAAGGTTCAGAGGGGTCATCAGGTTCTCACTGCGTGGATCTGGAGATATTTCTCTGGAGAAAATGCCAACAGGGGCAATCATGGCGTCGTTCTTAGTGAGAAAGCGTAAGTATGTTCAAGCCACTAGCATTAACTTGAAAGGAGGATACATTTTTGGTCAGAGTAGTTTATTTGTTCTGATCTGGAATAGGACTGGTTGTTCGTTAGTGTGTGCACAAGTCAGCTCTAACTTACAATGAGGTTTCCTGAGCAGTCCTCTGTACTTCCAACACGATGGCCATTCTCGAACCATTGTTGGCATACAAGCCAAGTATCAGAGAAATGGGATGCGACAGTACAACTTACTTGTGTTTGATCCTGCTCAAGTAAGTATATTCCTGCCTGCGTGCACTGTCTGTCATTTGCAGCGTAGTTAAGTTAAGTTTCCTTGATGAGAAATTATCAGGGCCATTGGACATGGAAACAGTGTCTACAATTAATTAGTTGTGTGTGTAGTGCTGGGCATTGATTGTTTGAATACCATGGCCATTGGACATGGATACGGCAATGTTGTATTGTAATTAACCAGCTACATGTAGGCATTGGTTGTGTGGTGCTGGATCTTAAAACACAAAGCCCATATCATTGCTGCAGAGAACAAGGGATCTGGAAGCATCGCTGAGAGAGAATTCTGGATGGCAGAGGTTAATAAAGAGGGGGGAGCACACCCTGAAGAAGCCACAGTACCAGGTGGGTAGCAATTGTGAGTTTCAGTCAAGCGGGTTTTGTTTTGTTTTGTTTTGTTTGTGAGAAGGTAACGACTGATGTGATTGTGTTTCAGTTGTGCTATATTGAGGAGGGAATAGCACATGGGGAAGAGTTGGAGGAACTGAAGACTCTACACAGCACCCGCTGTGAAATTTGATGACGATGATTCATGATGTGTAGAGAGAGCTAGCTCATTAGTGATCTCTACATACAGTCAAGACTCAAGACAGTTGTCAGTCAGTCCATCCCGGGGACAAGATGAAGATGAAGATGGGGGAGGCAGAGGTGGTGGAGAGTGGAGGGATTCAAGCCTGGGGTTTTATTGAGTAGCAGCACTAGAGATAGAGGGGGATGGGGGGTACCGTAGCATCCTTGGCATGAATGGTGACAGACATTAGTCATTAGTGTTGGTAGTATTATGATACATGCGTGTGTTGGTTAGTTGTATTGATAGACTTTGCTTGGGGAGCCCTCTTAACATTGTTAACTCTTCAATGAAAGTATAATGAAGGCCAGGTGCAATAATTTGCCCATGAAAAATGCATGTGCATGCGTACATACATACATATATATCGAAGCAGAAACTAGAAAAGAATAAATAGGGCCAGAAATGAAATAGCCCGGGGGCCAAGGGGCCTATCGTAAATAAATAAATAAATCAATACTAAATAATACCTTCCAATTACTTGCACAATAATGTTAATAAAGATACATACATACATTCATTCATTCTCCAATGGCGTCCGGCGTCCCGTGGCACCCTCCACTCCCCCAGAAAACCTCCTCATCCTTTCGTCCTTCTCGCACACGCAATCCCATACCTCTCCGTCGCCCCGCCCCTATCAGCTCCTTCAGGCGCAGTGACCTTGATGGCTTCGCGAAACGCGTCGCTTCTGGTGAACTCTGGCGCGACGCCTGGCGGAGAGCTAACGATGGCTTTGAACAGTTTGTCTATGAAACTAGGAAAACAGCCGAGCGAATTGACCGAAGATACGCTGTCTCTACTCGTTTCTCCTCCGCCGCACAGGCTGCCGCCGACCGAGCGCGAGAGATTGATCGTGAGTTTGAAATTACACAGCGCTGGAGGACCTTTTCGCTTGATTTCGGTAGAAATTGGCCTAGGGTATTTGCTATCCTAACCACTTATTTCTCAAAGATTTAAAATTCCGCCCATTCAATAATAAGGATTCTTATAAGTTTATTTTTTGCAGTACAGAAAACAGCTCAATGATTTTCTTGAGACTCCGCTGGGGAGGAGTTTTGCTGTGAGTATTATTTCCAATATATTTTCCTTGTATGTCAACGTACAAGCTTTCGTGTTGTTTTAGCCTTTTGGGAGAATCTCTATTTCCAATGATGTTTGGAGTTTTTACATTGCATCTCGGTGCCTTTTAAAATGATATAGGGAGGAAACGCTATTCCTGCAGCATTCCACTGGTTCCATCAACTTGTCAAATGAATTAACAAATTTGTTTCAACATTGTATTGAATATAATAATTGTATATCTTGATCAAGAAAGATAATTATATAATACTTTTGAATGTCTAGTTTTTTCTTAAACCACATACACACACACACTCACGCACCCCACGGATCCAACCTCATGCTTGCCGAGAGAGGGCTCAACGGCTTGAGCAATACACCCTTGGCACTTTGAATGCCTAGTTTGAAGATATTTGATTTTGCAAATCTTATATTTTCCTATCACCAGTTTCTAACTATGATTCTAACATTTTTGTGCACAGACACTTTTCTTTTTATGGTTTGCTCTATCTGGCTGGCTTTTTCGAATTCTTATTTTTGCCACATGGGTATTGCCCTTTGCTGGCCCTCTCTTGATTGGGGCTGTAGCAAATAATCTTGTCATTAAGGTAATGTTCTCATTCTTGAGCTTCTACTTTCTTATTCCCATTAAGATTTGTTACTGGCTATTTTATTTCCCTGGGACAACCTCAAATTATTCTGATATTGCATTCCCAATATTCTTCATTAATACTTGTTGAATGCTGGAAATACATAAATGAAATGAAAAGAAAAAGTCAAACTAGGGATGTTTTTTTCTCTTTTTCTTTGTGTGTGTGTATTTTTAGGGTGTGTTTGTTTCGGGGTTTGTATTTTGAGTTGGGATTTGAATAGTGAACATTTTGAATTGGAATAGTGATATGGCGTGATATAAATAGGTATTGATGTGATATTTTGAATGTAAAATTAATTTTTAGTATAATATAAAAAATGAAAATAAGGGGAGAAAATTTGGTGGATAGTAGATATCCGGGGAAATCCGCCAAACAAACTTACCCTTAGTGTTTTTGAACTGAAAATACGAAAATATTGTTGGATGAGATGTTAAAATACGAAAATATTGTTGGGTGAGATGTTGGACAGAATAAAAAGATCGTTAAAAAAAAGTGTGTTTAATGTTTTTGAGCTGAAAATATGAAAATATTGTTAGGTGAGATATTTTTAGACAGAATAAAAAGATTGTTAAAAAAAGTGTGGGGGTGGGGGTGGGGGTGGGGGGCACACAATTACAAACCTTTCATATTATAAATATCTATAAGCATCAGAAACTGTGATGTGACATTGAGTACAAAAGATTGTGAAATGGGTTGAGAAATCATAAATGTTGTGTTCCTTACTCTCGCATGGGAGCAATACTATCATCCCATGACTATGATGATTCTCTGGATGATCCTTATAAGTAAAGATGCATTGTCTTCCTTGTGTCTTGTAATACTTTTAAAATTGAGCAAATCCAAACTTTCATGTATTTGATATATATATTTTTATGGACAGCTGTAGTATTGGGAACTAAACTTACTGACTATCTAGTTTAGATCTTGCCAAGAAATGCCGTCCTTACTTTAGATATGTGGGTGATAACCAAACTTATAATGTGAAATTCATTTTTTTCAAATTTTTAATTTTTTTCTTTGGGTAACCTTAAATTTCCCTTGATCGATGAATATATTCCAGGGGCTGTAATTTGGATTTTGAAATGAAGTGAGTGCCATTTTACTTCCCAAACAATTGTTATATTGCCACCTTCAGATTTGAGAGCATGCTAGTTTTGAATGATTTTATAGTGTGTTTTAGTTCACATTTTTGCAGTTTAATCAACGGTGACTTTTTATTCTTGCATATTAAAGACGCCACTTAAGTCTTCCATACTAGAGTTTTTTTTTCTCTTTTTTTCTTTTTTAAATATGAGATTCTTGAGTGTAAGTTTTTTACCATAATTTGTGTGGGGTACAATTTTGCATGCATCCGGTTTTTTTATGAATCACTGTGTTCTAAACAGTTGTTTATCCTGTTAAATTATTTATCATGAATAAATGTTGTGGTGCTACTTCTTGTAGATCATAGATACGGTACCCATATTGAAATAAGTTTGCAAGATCAATTTTGAAATATTTACTTTTATTTTTGTATCTCATTTTGAGCATCACGTATGCGGTTATGGGATTTTTGTCGGTCATTAAGTTTGCACGACCTTATCGTTGTGTATGGAAGCCAAACTGTTAAATTCAGTTTTAACCACCCAATTTATATCCTCCCTCACCGTATTAGTGCATGTGAGCAGGGACAGTGCCCAGCCTGTGGGCGGCAATTTCTTGGATATAAGAACCAAACCATACGGTGTGCAAACTGTGGAAATATTGTGTGGCAGCCACGAGGTGACTTTTTCTCCAGAGGTTCCACATCCACCTCTTCAAAGTCTCAACCAGACATCATTGATGTCGACTTTGAAGAGAAATGAAAGGAGAATGGCAGCTCCATGTAATTTCTTCTTCGCGGAATGTACGATGCCTTAACTGTAGTGTTAGAATGGAGATCATCTTTTGCTTTACAGATGGTTATTATGTTCTATGTTACTGGTTCAAGTGTGATGTCTTACAACTTTATTTCTCTATTAATTCTTTGAAATATGTTGGTTATTTTGGTACAACGGGAATCTTTCTTAGGCGTAGGGATCTCAAGATTAAGATGAAATGGGTTGCGTGGAGTACTCGGACAAGTTTTCCAGATATCAAGAAATGAGCGCTCTCAGGCAATCCCGATATCAAGAAATGAGAAACTAAGGTGCTGGAGTTTAGACAAAATAAACTGAAATTAAATTCAAATTTGTATTTTAATTGAGTTTGTCACATTTAAATTTCAGAATTTTGAATTATGGATAAACTGAAAAGTTAATTATTTTGATTTTAAATTCAAAATGTTGGTTAACTTTTAAAAAACTTCCAGATTTTTTTACAAATAAGCAATGCTTGGTCATTTACTGTTTTAAGTTTGATGTATGTATTAAAGTTTAAATTTTCAAAATAATAATTATTTTCTTTTCTTTTTAACAGTAATGTTTATTATTAAAATACTTTTTAACATTGTTTGCAACTTCTTATTCTTATACTTATTTTGTGATATCCAAGACGTGAAAGGATTGAAATAAAATAAATCGACAATATTATCGTGATTTGAAGTTCTATTAAGTATTGTCTTACCATGAACTATACGTATTTGACACAACAATCATATATTTCATTTCTTGTGCACAATGGCCAGAGAATCAATAAAAGATATGGCAACCAAAATTGGAAAGTTGTGGACATTCAAAAGAGTCGTTGTGAGCATTGGCAAAATATGTATTTCCTCTTGACCTCCCTCAAGGATGCATATGTGCTGAGCACACTATGTCTAGAGCCTTCTAAGAATCTTGATGATGAGGCAATAGAGCATGCCCGGGCAAATACTGAAATGGGAGAATAATGACTATATTGGTTGCGGCCATATTCTCAATGCGCTGACTGATGATCTTCTTTGATGTTTACCAAAATTTTCAATCTTGAAAGTAACTTTGGGAGGCGCTCGAAACAAGGTACATGGTAAAAGATGTGTTTGGCAAGAAATTTTTTGTAAGCAATTTCAATAAGTATAAAACGGATTATGTGTCCGATGATGGAACAATATATTTCCGGATTTTGGGCCAATTCACCTAACACGGTTTAAGATGGATGAAGCTATCGTCGTATCGAGTTTCATTGATAAACTCCCTTCTGCGTGGAAAGAGTTTAAGCATTGGCTTAAACATAAAAAAAAAAAAAAAAAAAAAAAAAAAAAGTTGACGATGATGGAACTCGGGAATCATTTGCGCATTGAGGAGTCATTACGTGCGCAAGAAGATGAGAAGGGAAATGAGTTTGTTGGATCTACAACTAATATGGAGAAGGAAAAAAATGGAGAAAAAACGCAAGCCCGATGTTTTCAACAAAAGCTCCAACAAGAAGTCTAGATAGGATTGTTGGATTTGTGGAAAACCAAGACACTTCAAATGCTATTGTCATGTTGGAAAGGAAAAAGAAGTGCTAGCTAGCACTGGTACGATGGAAAAATGGTCGAAACACCAATCCCAAACCAAGGTAAAGATTTGGTTTAAGTCTGAAAACATGATGGTCGTTGGTTCGGTAACTTTGATATGTAATACACATTATGTGCAAGATGATGTTTATCCGTGGTGGTGGATAGATTTTAATGCCACAACATAATATGTAAATATAGGTGTTGGTTCAAAGAATTCTAGCCGGTTGATGATTGATCAATGTTGTACATAGGGGATTAGCATTGTGATTCAATTGTAGGATGTGGAAAAGTGACACTGAAATTTAATTTTAGTAAGAGTGTTATATTATGTAATGTTATATATGTTCTTAGGCTACGTAAGAACTTTGTCTTGGGTCTTGTACTATATAAGTTTGGGCACAAACAGATGTTCAAATCGGACAAATATGTCCTATGATCATTTATAATATTTGGTTATTATTATAATGGCATATTTAGGGTGAATTTAATTAATATTCTATTTCCTATCAAATTCGTGTGTAATATATCCATATCACAACGATGAGTCGATCTGCATGTTTGGGTCACATTTGAGATATGTCAAAAGCAAGATTAATCCCTTCATTTGACATCAATAATAAATGCAAAACTTTCATGTTCACCAAGATCACGAGAAACCCTTTAAAGGTGTAACTACGAAATCAAAAATCTTTGAACTCATTCATAGTGACTTATGTGATTTTGATTCTACAGCCTCGTTACGGAATAAGAAGTATGTTGTGACATTTATCGATGATGCCACCAAGTTTTGTTATGCTTACCTGTTGTATTAGAAAAAAATAGTAAGGCTTCGGACAATTTTAAAATCTTTAAGGCCACATTTGAGCTTCAAATTGGATTTGAGATAATAAGCTATGTTGACAACTTGTTATCTTCTTAATTGGGTTCCCAAAAACAAAACAAACTCACCTTTATGAACTTCGGTTAAAAAAAAACCTATATTTGTCATATTTACACGTAAGGGGTTGTAGGGTGATTGTAAAGGTTTCGAAGCCTAAAATGAAAACATTACGAGAAAAAGGAATCAATTGTATATTTAATATTTATGTTGAACATTCTAAAACATATAGCTTCTATGTTATAGGACCTAATGACTTTGTATCAGTTCACACTATTATAGAGTCTCGACCTGCGATATTAGATAAACATCAATTTACCTTCATTCGTAGACCATCAATTGATGTGAAACATATTGAGTATGAACATGAGAACAATATTCGTTAACCGATGGATATCGTGTTAGATAGAAGTAATATGCTGAATTTGGGAAACAATCTTGATAAAGATATGGGAGAACAAATTATTGAACTCCATAGAAGTAAAATGGCTAGGAAGCCCAAGTTTGGTCCCGAGTTTCAACTCTATTTAGTTGAAAGTGTAAGGAATAAAACTGATGTGTTGTGTTCTTTTTGTAACAATGTTAGAGAAAAATTCTAAAACTTTTAGTGAAGCTATGAAGTTAAGGAATGCAACTTTTCGAATAAGGCAATAGTTGATGAAATGGAAAATGGCTCTTAAGTGCTATCAGATTTGCTTCCGAGCTGTAAACCTTTAGGTTGTAGATGGATATTTAAAACAAAGCTAAAATCTAATTACACCATCGATAATTTTAATGCTCGGTTGATGGTTCAAGGTTTTAGGCAAAAAAAAATGTATTGATTACTTTGATACCTAAGCATATGTTGCTAGAATTGTTACCATTAGACTGTTAATTGTATTGGTTGGCATCATCAATTTGTTAATACATCAAATGAATATAAAGACAATAATTTTCAATAATGACTTAGGTGGGGAAGTTTATGTGAAAAAACCAAAAGGATTCATCAAGTCGAGAACTGAAAGTAAAGTATGTAAGCTAATTAAATCTTTATATGATTTAAGTCTTTGGAACAACTCTCAAACAATGGTATCAAAAGTCTAATTCAATTATGTTGTCTAATGAATTTGTTTTGAATAAGTCGGAGAAGTATATATACAGTAGGTTTAATGATGCCGGTGAAGGTGTTATAATCTATTTATATGTGGATGACTTATTGATCTTTGGGGCGGATCAAAGCCATGTTGATGAAACAAAAAGTTTTTTGTCTTCCAAGTTTGCAACGAGGATAATAAGACAGGCGTGATTCTTGGGATTAAAATTAAGTGAGAATCCGCTAAGATTGAGTATTACTCAATTGCATTATGTTGAGAAAATTCTTAAAATGTTTCACATAGAAGATAGTAATTAAATTTATACCCACTTTATCAGAGGGCAAAACTTATACAAAATATTGGAGAGTCGGTGTGCCAACTTGAGTACTCTAGAGTCATAGGCTCTTTGATGTACGCAATGATCAACACGAGACCGGATATTGCTTATTGTTCCGTTGAAAGACTAAGTCGATTTACAAGTAACACAAGTACACATCATTGGCAAGTACTTGAAGAGTGTTTAAATGCGTGAAATCAAAAATAAATTATGGTTTTCGTAAAGTGGATCTTCTTCAGTCATTGAAGGATACTCATATGCTAGTTGGATAAACTGTATAGATGATCACTTATCTACTACGATATAGGTATTTTTGCTTGGAGGTACTACTATTTGTTGGGCATCAAAGACGCAAATTTGTATAACTAGCTCGATAGTGGAATCAGAATTTATCGTTTTGGGCGTGGCTATCAAGGAAGCATAATAGTTTCATAACTTGATTCATCAGATTTCATTGTGGCTGAAACTGGTGTCACATATTTCAATACATTGTGATGGCTCAACAACAATGACAAAAGTCTATAGTGAGATTTATAATAACAGGTCTCGACACATAGACGTGAGACATAGCATGACTCATGAACGTCTTACCAATAGAGTGATTTTAGTAAAATATGCTTGTTCACAATATAATTTTATTGACCACTTGATGAAGGGATTAACTAGAAAACTTATGCCCAAGTCATCTTTTAGGTTGAGAATAAAGTCCATCAAATTCATCTAAAGACGAGACACTCAATTCCCTCGTAATGTGTCATTAGGAGTTGATTTTAATGTGAAAAATTTATCTTATAGTTTATTGAAATGCTCTTAAAATATCATCTAAAAATAAACGTTCAATCCTGCAAGAAAGTTAGGTTTAAACTTATTTTCTAAATAAGTTCTTTGAAAAATTGCATTGTAGGTGTAAGATTTAAAAAAATCACCTATATAAGTATGAAATTTTGTTGCTTCAAAATATTTAAGAATTTTAATGTTATGTATTTCTGAAAAATAGAGACTCAAAAGTTTAATGTTAGGATTTATAAACATTTGTGTACACTACACGCATATAATCTTATGAGTTCATTGATTCAATTTTCAGTTACATTGGTTCTCGAATAAATTTATTATTATATACTAATATAAAAAATCAATCATTTTGTTTAGTGAGTTTGCTTATTTCGACAAACTTTTCCAATATCCAATAAAAAGAAAACGGTTTAAATTTCAACAAATTAGGCTTTTAGAGCTTAGACAAACTAAATTCAAATATATATTTCAATTGTTTGTCAAATTCAAAATTCTTAACCGTTTGAATTTTGAATAAACTTTAAAATTAATTATTTTGATTTTAAATTCAAAATGTTGATTAACTTTCAGATTTTCTACAAATAAACAATACTTGGCCATTTATAGTTTTAATTGTGACATATATGCATCAAGATACTAAAAATTCCAAATAACAATCATTCTATTGTCTTCCTAACATCAATGCTCATTGTTAACGCTTTTTAGCACTTAGTGCAACTTCTTACCCTCATATTTATTTTGTGATATCCAACACATGAAAGGATCAAAATAAAGTGTACGGCCAACATTATAGCGATTTAAAGTTCTATCAAATTATTATCTTACCTTAAGAATTTTGAATAAACTTTAAAATTAATTATTTTGATTTTAATTTTAAAATGTTGATTAACTTTCAGATTTTCTACAAATAAACAACGCTTGGTCATTTATAGTTTTAATTGTGACATATGCATCAAGATACTAAAAAATCCAAATAACAATCATTCTCTTATCTTCCTAACATCAATCCTCACTGTTAACGCTTTAGCACTTGAGTGCAACTTCTTACCCTCATATTTATTTTGTGATATCCAACACGTGAAAGGATCAAAATAAAGTGTACAGTCAACATTATAGGGATTTAAAGTTCTATCAAATCATTATCTTACCCTGCTTCTAGATATATTTGACACAACAAAATATAATAGTGAAATGTTGAAGGCACAGAGAGAGGTAGTGTGGGGATCATCCACAACTAGACTACGTTACATTAGATGCATGAGTGGCGAAGGTGTCGTATTTAACCCCCACCCTCTAACCCCATACATGTTGGCTCTTACTTACACTAAATGCATGGTTGTTGTATGTAACACTGCATACATCATCGCTTTACCGAGTTTCCAAGTGAACATATACAGAGTAAAACTTGTGTTCTTCCAATTATCAATGTATGCTCTTTTTTTCTTGATAACTAGGGAAGCATGCATTAGTGGTGCAAGGCAGGGGCCGGGAGGCACTACCAGACTAGACTAGACTAGAAAACAAAACATTGTTGTGTTACCTGTTATTGTCTTCTAATAAGGAGCTGAGTTCCCGTGAGAAGCAAGCATGTGGATAAAGATTGATCTGATCCATGGAGAACGGAGCTTGTTTCAAACCAGTCTAGCTGTGGTTCTGTTACATCAATCAAATATAAAAATGGCACAGCATGCAATAGAATTAAAATGGCCATTGTATCCCTTAAGTTAATTACTGCACCATTCGTGCAGCTCAAGTGGCATTATAGTTTTCCACTACATAAGAAAGCAGAAAATTACATCTGCTAAACATGATCGATTCATCCTAGCAATGTAAGCATGATAGATCCTAGCAATTATGCATTCTCCCTGATTCTTTCTTTAACCATAGCGCCTATATGCTGTCAATCCTGGAGACAGCCGCTGCCATCCTAACCTAGGCTAGGCTCCCAGGCTTTCTAACTCTTCTTATACACTATAACATGGATGCCTGTTTCAGGTAGGTACTACCACTCCTTCATGCATGAGTTAGCCCACTAATTGCATCTAGTATCTTAGTCAAGCCGTTCTCTTAGATTTTTCACTACTTACTGGTTAACCAAGCATTACTTAATCTATTTTAAACACCATGCTATTGCTCAAACAAGATTAATGTAAGAAATACGCACCTGAGTTAGCCTCTGCTGCATACGCATTTGGACAGTCTGTTCCAAAATCCAACATTTGAATTTGATTGTGTTGCATTCGATTCAACAGGCTCCCTGAATTTAGCCTTGTCACTGAGTTCTTCAAATGAGTTCACAAGATTCTGAAGTCTAGCAACATACTCAATCAACAAGGAGGTAAATGTTGCAAGTGACAGCGCACTTGCACTTTCATATGTCCTTGCTTCTCGCTCATTCAGAGTTGCATCATATGTAAGTGAGAGTCGTGAAGGCCACACCACCAGGTGTTCAAACACATCTTCTCTTGTGCCCCATTCTGAAAGAGAGAGACTTGTTCGCTGGTTTGCATTATGCAGACCACTGTTTTGCAATATCCGAGTTGGGTTAGGGTTAAACGATGCACTAAGTGACTTAGTCAATAATTGTTTGTTGTCATTATTGAGCTCATGAAGATTGTCACGACGAGAAGATTTCTCAGGTAAATTTTCATTTTCCCAACTCTCAGCATTCACTAGAAGATATGATTTGCGGTCAATCATTGTTTGCAAATCCTCGGCAGCATCATGAACCTCCTGAAGCAGGTCTCCCGGGTCAAGCTTTTCCATCTTTTCCACCTTCTCACTGAGCAAAAGCAGTACTTTGGCTCCTTCAGTCCCAACTCTCTGAATTCCATCCTTAAATACAACACGTAGTTCAGAAGGTGCCTGCAGACAGAAATGGCTTACTCAAAGACTTGGAAAACATTAAGAAAACAGGGATGGAATGGGTAGTAGCACCAGGAATCGAGAAAATCAACACCAACATACTGACATATGGGTTAAAGGTGTTCACTTTTCCATGCATTTGCTACATGTCAAGCAGAAAATGTACAATGGATACATTTGATCAAAGTAGCATATTATCTATTTGGAAGAAGGCTTAAAATCCCACAAACCAAGTGTGAAATTTTACGATATTTTATATTTTATTCTTGTAGTAGTTCTATTTCTTATCAAGCTGTATCCTGTCATTAATGCTAGGATTATCCGAGTAAAAAAAACAAAATCCTATAATCACAGGGATTTTTCTCCCAAAAATTAGTTTTCATATTTGACTGGCTCATGAATAAAATATTTTCTTCCTTCCAAATTTGAGATGGCCTATGATCTTTGGGAGCCTCTGACTGTGCCGAGAACACCGAATTTGCAGCCTTCATTGCTGAAGAGTCCTTAGCCTTGGAATTCAAGATCAAGACATTAGAGACTTAAAATACTTTTTGGGGAGTGAAGTGGCCCTTGCCAATTTTCATATCTTACACAATTATATTACAAACTTGCTTAAGGAAACAGGTAAGATGACTTTAAGATCACCAAACACTCCAGTGTATCATAATTCATAGACTTTTGGCAAGCTTATTTATTAATGAGATGGGGCTACCACGGAAGTATCTATCTTACACTAGACCAGATATTGCCTTTGTTGTGAGCCTAGTCACCAGTTTATGCACCAACCAAAGGAAGCACATTTAAAAGTTGCCTTCAGAATTGTCCACCAATAATTTAAAGGCATGGAGAATAGAGATTTTCTTTGAGCATATGTCGTGAAGCATATATGAATGCAGATTACATGGGTTCAATGGAGGATTGGAGATCAACTACTAGAGTATTGCACATTCTTGGTGGAAGCCTAGTAACTTTGAATAGCAAAATGCAGTGTAGTAGTTACAACAAGTGTTAAGAGAGCAACAGCCAAAGGAAAATGTGAACTTCCACGGCTAAAGATCATATTGGAAAATGTGAATATAATGTGGGATAAACCTTGAGGTTATATTGAGACCATAAAATCTGCAATGAGTATATCCCACAAGCCGTGACAACATGATAGAACCAAACATATTGAGGTGGACAGATTTTATATCTAGGAAAAGCTGGAAAGTGGCTTAATTTACACCCCTTATATGTCCACTTACAGCATAGCTACGTTGGTTTCATTATATCACAACAAATGCTACACCACATCATCACTGTCAGAATGCTCAAAGAATGTTTTTTACTCCCCAGTCCCAATTTTTTTTTTTATTATTATTTCTAATTTAGGATGTCCCAATCCTCTTTTACCATTCTAAAAATGATAATGCCCGGATGTTGTAATCTTTATCATTTTGGTCTTAAGTAAAGATTGTATAGAAATAGTTCTATATTTAATCTATAGTTGCTGAAAAAATCATTTGTTACTGAAATATTGTCATATGTACTGACATGGTACCACCAAAGCTGATATGAACCGGCCATACCGTAATTTCAAGTGGATTTAATTTTTTAAGGGTGTGTTCTTTTGAAAAAAAATTTCCCCATTTTTACTATTCACCAAATTTTTTCTTCTTCAAAAACATCAAATCAAATACCTATTATTTATTTATTATATTATACTAAAATTTAATTTTACATTTAAAATATCTAGAACCTGTTTATATAACATCATAAACTGCTCCAATTCAAATTCTTTGCTGTTCAAATTCCAATTCAAAATCCAAACCCTCAAACAAACACACCCTAAATAAATATACAAATATATATAAAACTAAATTCATATTAACATTTAATGCTGGAAATTGTATGTGGTTAGTCCATGTTCGCATTAGCAGTTTAAATCCCAATTCAAAATCCAAATTCTCAAACAAACAAACCCTAAATAAATATACAAATATATATAACTAAATTCATATTAACATTTAATGCTGGAAATTGTATGTGGTTAGTCCATGTTCGCACAGGCAGTTTAAATCACAACTCAAAATCCAAACCCTCAAACAAACACACCCTAAATAAATATACAAAAATATATAAAACTAAATTCATATTAACATTTACTGTTGGAAATTGTATGTGGTTAGTCCATGTTCGCACCAGCAGTGTCATATCAACACATATAATAATATTCTAATTGCAGAGGACATTTTCAACAACTACCCGATTTCTTTTAAAGAACCAAAACAATAAACAATGTTGCACAAGGGATAAAAAAACATTTATCCCTTTATACAAAGATACCCAACAAAAAGGAATAAAAAGGTAAAAATAATAAAAATTATACAACCTGAAAAAAAGCCGGAAGTAGTATTATTTTGCTAGTATTAGAATATTTTCTGTATCTTTAATTATTCAATTTCCAGGAAAACACCCTTCTTCCTCAACAACCTACCTTGTACACCTGATCACAAAACGTTTCTAAAGGCTAGGGGAGCAAACAGGATAAAATCCAACTTGAGCATCCTAAAAACTCTGTTAGGTTCAGTTGTACATGTCATTTAATGAAACGTAGTTGACTGATATATTTTAAAACGAAAGCAACACAGTGTAAGGAGTAGTAACTTTGAACAGATTATAAGCAGAATAAAGGTCAGCTATAAACCTGTATTTCAGAAAGTATGCAGCCATGCATTGCCATCACCATGAAAGCGCAATGTCTCAAGGCACCGCCAACTTTAACATATTCACTCCAAGGATAATTGAACATTTTGTAACGGCCATGGGGTGGTTCCCATATAGCAAAACCTAACTGCAACAAGTAGCAAGTCAAAAGTATATCAGGCATCACAGGGTCCCAAGACTAGGATATTATTCAGCTGAGAAGAAATACGATGCAGTGTACCAGGGTCTCCTCTTGGCTAGTGGACTCCACAGCAGCTCTATATCCCTTGTAAAGAGGATCATCAGACGCCTGGTAGACTAGAATTTTTGAGGGTATTCTAGTGTATTCAGCTGATTGCAAGTACATTTTGACACACCCTGAACCAAAGCCCCTGGATATAAGTGAAAAAAGTCACCTTATATAAATTCGAAAAGCATGAGTATATTTAGCTTGCTGGGGTTTTATGCCTTAATCCACAACAATATTTCACAAATCTAAATCATCACCTTCCAAAGACATAGCAACTTCTTTAAAATTTTTAACAATGAGTTTGTGCAGATCCTGACCAGCCCAAATAGGTAAAACGCATACATTCATCATCAAGCAAACAACAGCCCCAACTGCTATTTGCAGCAATCTAGAAACAGCAGTTTGAACCAATTCTGAATCTTCAGATACCAATACAATACAAAATGTCAACAAGAACACCCGAAATCCATATTCGTATTGCTTCATAGCTGGGTGTAACTTCAAATAACTAGCCGCAAAACCTGCAGACCGGAAAAAGTGAAAGTCGCAAATAAGCTGCATTTAGTGTAAAGTTCGTATCCTGGCATGATGGCCAAGAAGGGCATTGACTAATGATTTCTGCTAGTAAATACTTTGCCTTTAACTAAGTGGACAAATTTGATGAAAAATAAAATAATGCAAATGAGGGCCATGATCCATCTCGAGGGGTGTGTTTGTTTGGGGGATTGGATTTAATTTCCACTATTTATCCCATTTTTTGCCCCCAAAAATATCAAATCAAACACCTATTTTTCATTTTTTATATTATACTTAAAAATCAATTTTACATTCAAAACATCACATCAACACCTATTTATATCACATCATACAACTATTTAAATTCAAAACTTTTACTATTCAAATCCCAACTCAAAATCCAAACTCCCAAACAAACACGCCCGAGATATCTTACTTCAGCATGCTTCATTACAATAAAATCATATAGAGAATAACTTCATTTGCTCACTATGAACTGACCTGCAATAAAAATGCTAACAACAATTATGACTTCTTCCACCTCCCCAACCATCATGGACAACTGTGCAATCCCCAGGGCAAGTGCTCCAGCAGTTAAGGTACCCAGCCCTCGATTAAACCCTTTGCTTAATGTAGCCCCTAGACATGCAATCCCATGACCAAAGGTAAGAGGTTAAAGGCCAGATTTGAACAAGCAGCAACAATTTGAAAAGCATGGAACTAATTAAAATGCACTCTGACTAAAAGAAAAGGCTTGGGAGTTTGGAATCATTATTTCGTACGATAACTTCAATTTGATACATACATGGGCGCGCATATAGTGTGTGCAAAAAGGTATTTAAATAATACATCTAATAAGAATGCTTAAAAAAGCGACCAGTAGTTACAATAGTTGGCACTTGGGAAAGGCAACAAAACAAAAAGAACGCCTAGGCTGCCGACTCAGCAGCAGCAGCAGACAAGAGTCTAGATGGAACCGTAAACCTACATAATAGTAGAGAAAGGGCTCTGCTCTTGTAAAATCATGTATATTTTGCACTGACCTATGCTAAACTCGAAGACAACAACAACTGTGAGAATAGCCCAGATGGACTTGTGAGTAAAAATGTTAGGGGGCTCCTTGAAAAACATCAGCAAGGAAACCAGAGATAAAGCGGCGCCCATTTTAGCAGCGAACACCGCTTTTCTCGGATCGGACCTCCCCATTTCATACGCTTCGATAGCAGTTTCTTTGACAACTCTCCACCCCCTCGAAAATCTTTCTCCCGTGGTTCGAAAAATCCGATGCGCACAGCCCTCGTGCGTGAGTACGACAGAAGAGTCGTCCAAGCTGTAGTCAGAATAATATCTGGATGATATCAACCCATCTCGGCTATTCTCTGCAAAATTGTAGGCAGAGGGACCAAAAGCTGAAGGCATCATGGTCGCCGTAAAACGGAATGTTAAACCCCTCCCTCAACGGAGATCGGAGAAGTAGGAAGGATGGAAGAGAGCAGGCAACAAACTCAAGCGTCAAGCCGAACAAAGCCGTAGTAACAATTAATTAATTAATTAATGAGGGAGCATATGTCATACGGCCAAGTGCAAAAAGTTGCAAGAGATATAATATTGGGTGTTATCTCGAACCTCGAACCTCGCGATCTTAATTAATGAGAATCGTGGATTGGATTTGGTTGGCAGAAGAAACCACATTCGATCACAAATGGTCAATGTGGCGGTGAAGTGGTCAGCGTCGCGTGTATAATGTGTGTGTTACTCTATCGTTTCCAGGCTTCATTACATTTAACATACTGAAAAAAGAAAAAAATATAAATAAATTTCTCCCATATAATAACTACAATATGTCAATACATAAAAATAATAATAATAATAATAAGTCACTACTGCAGCATTAGATGGTTGAAGCTATCTGTATGCATCATACAGCTACAGGCGTCATGTGGCAAAAGCAAATTGATATAGATTCTAGATTATTGGGAAAGAATCTCAGCAGATACACATGATACAATATCGGATATAAAAACAGTTGGACGAAGACAACAAAGATGGCCTGCGGTGCGCAAAATGAGAGGGGAGGGGATCTGAAACAAGAAAAAAGAAAAACAGAGTGGAGAGAAAGATCGATAAGGGTGGGTGAATCGGGCTTGTACTTGAGAGTTGGAGAAGAGCAAGGTAGGCAGGCACATGCAGCAGGAGAAATCATAAATCATAACTGGAAGAAAGTAGAATGAAAATTAACAAGTAAACAGACGGACGGACGGACGGACATCTGCGCGGATGGATATATGTGTAGTGTAGTGTGCAACTAAGTGCCGGCCGCTGTGGATGTTGTTGTTGTTGCAGCTGCAGCAGCAAGCTTGGCCCTGAGATCTTTCCTCAGGATTTTGCCGGCTGGAGACTTGGGGATGGCATGCACGAAGTAAACTTTGTGCAGTCTCTTGTAGAACACCACCTGTTTCGATATGAATTCTTTCACCCCTTCTTCCGTCACTTCTGCTGCTGAAGATGAGGATGGCGCCCGAACTACGAATGCCACTGGCACTTCCCCAGCTGCCTCATCCTTTTGCCTGCATGCCCCCGACCCACTTTCATCATTAATTAATTACTTTTGCCAATATAATTGATCCCATCATTACACAAATGTGTACCATATATATATTAGTCGTGTACTTACGGAACTACAGCTGCATCTGCAATACCAGGGTGGTTCACAAGAAGAGCTTCCAACTCGGCGGGTGGTACCTGGATCATCATGCAATGCAGCCAGCTTCCATCAGTTCTTATCAACGGATAGATACAGGCAGTCAATGCAACGATACACACACACTATAGCATCAGGTAGCTAGGTAGAAAGTAGGCCCATTCAAAAAAATAAAAAAGAAGAGAAAATGAGAAGAGTTGATTTAAAAGATATAGAGAACTACGCAGCAACCAACGATAAAAGTGAAATACAGGCAAGTAGGCGGTGATGGAAGAGGAGTGAGATGGATGTATCGACCGACTGATATATTACCTGAAAGCCTTTGAATTTAATGAGTTCTTTCACTCTGTCAACAATGAAGACATCGTCATCATCGTCCACATAGCCAATGTCGCCTGTGTGGAGCCAGCCATCCACATCTATGGTCCTGGCAGTGGCCTCAGCGTCATTTAAGTACCCCTTCATGATCTGGGGTCCGCGTATACAGATCTCTCCGGTGTAGTTGCGTGGGAGGGACTGCCCGCTCTCTGGCTCCACCACCTTCAGCTCTGCGTTCCGAACCACATTCCCACACGAACCCGATTTCGTTGGCAATGGCTGCTTGGCGAAACCCGGAGACATTGACAGCACTGGACCGGCCTCGGTCATCCCATACCCCTACGAGCACAACCAACGAACCAACCACAGCCCATTTAATGAATGAATGAAATAGTACTAGTGTAGTTTAGCGGATCAACACTAGTAGCAGCAGTAGTGATAAGCCAAGGTCCGATCCATATCCACATATATATCCATCCGGATACCCATCACCATCCCAAGCCAAGGAGTGGGTGACGAGCTCGCACACGCGGAAGCCGCTCGCAACAAAGAGCATATGCCAAATGCAGGAAGCGGACACAGACTGAATAAGTGAATCTTAGATGCATGATCTGTTAACCAACGGAACAGTTGCGAGCTAAAACCAAAATAGGAGTCAAATTTTGGAGGAGTCCTCCTTGATTACAGCACAATGCATGAGTGTTCGAACAACACATTAGAAAATAATAGAGTCAAATACGGTCCCCACTACTCATCGGACTTGCGACTGTATCTATGTATGGACGAACACAGACTCTAGAAGGCATCCTCAGTCCCGCCCCCAGCCCCCACAAACAATACATATAATATATAGATATATATAAACAATTTGTTTGTGGGGGATGGATACCGGAAGGAAGGGGCTGAAGATCCCGTGGGGACACGTACACAGTAGAATAACAAATTTGTCTGTAATTTTTGGGAAACAGACAGAATAGAGAGGAGAAGGATATTCTGTACGATGTGGTTGGGGACTGAATTGAAGTGATGACGATGAGTCTTGGCCCATGTACTTCCAGAGGAGAGGAATCGCATGATAAATTGTGTCGTGCAGGACGCCTCTATTTCTTTTTGGTTAGATAATCCCCCCCAACCAACCAACCAACCAACAAAACAACCCACCAACCCTTCACCCACCACAACATTCACGTTTTCATTTTGTTCACTTAGGCGCAACTTAATTTCTATATGTTAGACCAATTTAGTGAGATACGCTGCTGGTAAATGATATCCATTTGACGGATTAATTTTGGTTAGGATAGGACATGGGATGGGATCATTTGAACGAGGTGACAATCCGTTAGCCTGGTTAGTTTAGTTGCCCTTTGCATTTTTTTTTTATCAAAAACTAATTTGTAAATACTAAAATTTTTATTTTAAAAAAAAGCGTGCTGACCTGTCCAAAGATCGCCTGCGGCACTCGCCCCAAAAGCGCCGCCTCCAGCTCCTTCCCCAGCGGCGCCGCCCCCGAAAGCACCATCCGTATCGTGCTCAGATCAAACTCATCCACCATCGGATTCTTTGCCAGCGCCAACACCAGCGGCGGCACCACCGCGGCCACCGTGACCCGGTGCCGCTGTATCAGCTCCAGCAGCGCACGAATCTCGAACTTCTGCATCAGCAGGACCCCCGCCCCAGCTCTCAAGGAGCACAGCAACACCGAATTCAACGAATAGATGTGAAACAGGGGCAGGACGCAGAGCACGACGTCGTCCGCCTTCAAGTACAAATTGGGGTTGTCCCCGTCCACCTGCTGGGCCACGCTCGTGATCAGGCTCCTGTGGGTCAGGATCACGCCTTTGGGCAATCCAGTGGTGCCCGAAGAGAAGGGCAGCGCAACGGCATCGTCCGGATCGATGTCCGCAGCCGGTGCCTCGCTCTCGTCCGCTTCGGAGAGCGCTGAGAAGTGCAAGCACCCTTGGGGAGGGCTGTCGATGGTGATGACCGAGAAAGACTCCCCGAAAACAAGGGAATCGTCGCTCGCAGCTGCTGCTGCTGGATCGCGGAGTTTGTCCACGTATTGGGCTTGCGTGATGATCAGCTTGGATTTAGAGGCGTTCAGCTGCTTGAAGATTTCCTTGGCAGTGCAGAAGGGGTTTGCGGTGGTAGTAACGGCGCCGATCATGGAAGCGCCCATGAAAGTGAAAACGAATTCAGCGCAGTTCTGGAGGAGGGTCATCACGACGTCGCCCTTCTGAATCCCGAGGTTGGACAGGCCGGCGGCGACCTTGCGACAGGTGAGGTGGGTTTCAGCGAAGGTGTAGGATTTTCCGGTGCTGCCCACCATAAGACATGTCCGGTCGGGGTGTTGGGGCACGTTCTGGAAACAGTAGGTGTGCAAAGGGAGGTGATTGGGAATTGGTATGGAAGGGAGTTTGGAAACAAAAACATGATCGGCTTTCGACGTATGGTCTACAGAAGATGAGGAGGAGGAGGAGGAAAGGTCAGGATTTTGAGTATCGACGGCAGCCACCGACAACATTGTAGTGGTGGGGAGCTGTTATAGGACCGATATAGCTAAGCTACCGGATAGATTAAGTGATGGTGGTGTATGTATGTATGTATGTATGATCGATCAGAAGTGGAAAATTGAAGGGGGGATAATTGGGAGAAGTGAAGCTGGGGCGAGAAATTATAACAATACCAATAACATGATTTTATTTGTAATTATTGGTACAACATAATAGTTAATTCAAGAGGAGGAAAAGGAGGAGGATGAGGAGCGGTGGATGAGACGAGGGAGGGGAGAAAGATCGGAGTTTGATGGGTGGGGTGGGGAGTGGAGGAGGTGGAACAATGATGATTATCATGAGGGACAGATTATATAAAACCAAAGAAAGAAAGAATGAAAAAAATGAATAGATAGCATAGCAAATAGCAGATAGCAGCAGCAGCAATTGGGGGTGGGGGTAGTTAGGTGAAGCGAGAGGGAAGCTGAGATGAGATGGGAGTAGCTGGGAGCGAACGAGTGATTGTGTCTCTCGGCACTCCTCTTCTCTCTCTCTCTCTCCGCTGCTGCACCTACACCTACCCTTCTTTCCGCTCTCCCCCAAAGTCAAAATTCCCGCGTCCTCCTACATAACATATATGTACGTGTACCTCTGACTGACTGACTGACTTGTATATGGTATATATATATGTATATTTTATCCACCCGCCTAGACTCGACTGGTGTGAACAATAATAGCAACCACCATCAAGACCAGAACGTCTTCGTCCTTTCATATATATTACTCTCTTTAATTAATATTGTATGATTTGGAAGTTTTTTAGCCACACGCAAACACTCACCAGTGACCACACACGCTTGCTTACACTTAATAGTTAGCAGCCCCCGACGTAATTCGTTCTTCTCTTCGCCAGTCCAGGCTGGCAGAAGGCAGACGGGGTCGGATTGGATGGCACCAGATCATTCTATGAATCAATTATATTTCCATTCGCTTTGAACCATCTCATCTCATCTCATCATGTACTGTCCTTTCTCCAAATTTATAACCCAAACCCGCCACCCCCTAGCTCCTCCTCAACAACTAATTAGTTCTACTTCTGCTTCGGTCGGACACGGGGCCTGTCCTGAAGCTGTCGGCTGTAGCACTCCACCTGCCCCCGCACCTCCTTGCAATTTCCAAATCTGTAATGTTGTTAAGTTTTAGCCATAAAAATTTACTATATAAATTTATCATCTAGCCAGCGATCGAGCGGGTTGTTCTTGAATGACTGCTAGTCACTGAAAATATATATATTTGGAAGGTTCGGTTTTCAAAACCAACAACATGTATTCTTTTTAGCTGGGTTGAATTACTCATCTTTAGTTCAAAGAAAATATTTCACACACGTAAGTTTTTTAGCCATGCATCAAATTTTTTATTTCAAAATTATATGTACATTCAATAAGACGGACACATATACAGAAGTCAATACTTTCCTTACTTAGATTTACCTTATTCCCCATTACCAATTTAATTAGATGATTAAATAAAAAATATTTTAATTTGATTGATATAAAAGTTTTATTTTATAATTTTAATTATATTATATTAAAAAAATAATAATATTTTATTAGTCAATGAAAGTGTACACGAAGTTTTGACATTTTTACTTTTTCATTTTATATAAAAAGTAATTGTAGATGTGTAAAGGAATATTTGTAATTTATGCAAAAAAAAATAAATAAATAAATTACAAATAGTATTAATTTGATACTTTGAAGCGGAACGAACGATTAAAAAAAATACTTAGAATTATGACTAAAGACGTATAATTTAGAATTTTTATAACTAATCTTTTACTATAAAACAGGTATAATATAATTTTTATATATATTAATACAAATATAATATATATAATATTAAAGCTATAATAGTAATTTGAAAAAATAAAAAAATATATTTCTTTCTCCCTCTTTCAAATTCTTCTAATTTGAAGGAAATCAAAATAAGCTTAATTTTTTTTTTTTTCTCTCTATTTTATTTCTATCTCCTAAAGAGTTGAACAAACGACATACTTTTTTTCCCCTTATTTCCCTCAAACCAAACAAGCTTTTAAGAAACCGGCACCGGTTTAATTGGACGATATGGACAACGATGGTGTCAATTAGTGTTTATTGGTGAGCAATTTTTTATTTTAATTTATTTTTTGCATATAGTGGTTTCAGCCACCAGCATGTGTGGCCAAACGAGGCACTCTTCTTTCGGCCTCTTTGGAAATGGGAGGCGGCTAGTGGCCTGCCGACCTTAGTACCAGCGAAGCAGCATCTGTTCGATTGTTTTATTTTTTAAAAAATGAAATTTTAGGTACTTATAGAATTGTTGCATGTATGTGTTCTTTTAAATTTGGTTGGATATGCAATAAATTTATTTAACATAAAACAACAATTTTTTTTTTTAATTATTCGAACTTGTTTGGCACCTAATGACATGGAAATGGATTATGTTGTCATACTTACAAACATACGCTCCATTATAGCTTGTATGGCCAAATTTTGTGATTACTTAATACCAAGAAGTATTTCTTCCAATTAGTTGGAGGTTGGTTTACAGTGATTTCTACAGTAGATACGATTATTAAGATGTTTTGCGACAACATAAAATATATGTATTAATATTTGTAAAAAATACAAAATTTATTTCATTCGACGACGTAAAGTACTACCTAGACCCAAAGGGTTTTGTCATGATGAGAAACATAACAACTGTGGTAGCTCTTATTCATCAAATATACATGAATTTGACATTTCGATCAATTCTAAGATAGTGATTACACCAAAATGGTGATGGATGCTGGAGGCTATGAATTCAAGGCGCGTGTGGCAAAAGCTGAAGAATCAAACCCAGAGGATAAGAAATTTTATGAACTTCTCAGTGCAACTAATAAGGAACTTTGGGAAGATTGCACGAAGCCAATACTACTATCCACTGTTACAAAATGCTAAACATTAAGTCTGAATTTAAACGATATTATTCTAGAGAATAAATAATCCCTAAATAATTTTTACAAAACAAAAAAGCTAAGTGAGAGTTTAAAATTTCTAGTACAAAAGATCCAATGAACTTATAGTTTATCCTACTTTTTGTACGTTAAGTGTTGACTATAATTTTGTATAATTCCTACTGATTTTTGGTCAAATTTGATTTTGTGTTAGGAATTGAAGAAATTGAAGATATTTGCAAAAAAAATTCAGATTCTTGCGTTGATTTAAGCATGTCCATGTCTAGAGAGAGTTTTGATAAGTCAAGACATGAAGAATAAAACTGAAATTTCGCATCAAGAGAAAAATAATAATAATAATAATCAAACCCTATTCTAAGAGGGGCAAGAACATCAACTGTTCTTCGTCTTCTTTTAAGTAGAATTTATTTGTTTTTTATTTCTAGTAATGTTTAGTAGCTAATTTCTTATTTTAGTCTAAGAGTGGATTGAATTCTTAGATTAGGAATTTGTGAGATAGTTTTGATTCTAATCGAATCTTTGAATTAATTGGTATTTGTGCGATTTCTGTGTACCGTGTTTACAATCATTATATTCGATTTATTATTGTGGCCAAACTTTAAGTCAGTTTATTGATTGTATGCTAATTGAATAACATGAATTTGCAATTGTGTATTTATTGGATAAAGTAGTAATTAAGTCAACGCGCTTAGCCTATGAATTGCATGATTAAATAAGAAATCTTTCGTAATTGTTTAATTATCTGAATTGGGTTTTTCTAGAGTTAAATTCAATTGGAGAATTTTTACTAAGGTCGTACCTAGTTTAATTCTTTCAATTAGGGAGTTGTCAATTGGTCGTACCTAATTTAATTTTTTCAATTAGAGAGTGGTCAATTGGTCGTACGTAGTTTAATTCTGTCAATTAGAGAGTGCTCAATTGGTCGTACCGTTGCCACTGACAAAGTTATGAAAAATTGGGTGTCCGATCGTATCGAACACCTATAACCAATTTATCAATTGTTTGATTAGATTATTTAATTCGATGATCAAATCCATTATTTAATTTTTCATCTAACCCTTGGACTAAAGTTTTCTACTTCTTGATAAATTCGTTTTTATTTTCTTTTTTAATTGATTGACTTTAATTGGTTTAGTTGAATTTTCTTATGATAGCTATTTTAATTCTTGATTAAATTCTCTCCTCCATTTTAAATAAATAATCAACTAAAGAACACAATCGTAGTCTCTATGGATCGACCATGTTTTAGTTATTCTACAATTGATTAAGAAATAAGCAATTATTTGACTGACAAGTCTACGTCTGTCAAGATCGATTATTGTTAGTTGGGATGTATGTTGTATTGGAAGGGGGATATAGATTAGATTGATGCAAATCTTGGGTGAAACCACGTTACAAAGAAAAAACAAAAGAATGTGTATTGATATGGTAAGTGTTTTACTTGCCGATCATATCAACGCTAAAGCGCATATATGTGTCTTCTCAAACTGCTTCCCATGTGCGGTGGCATACAGATCATCTCCATACAAGTAACGATGCTTTGCGTCATCTCAGTGATTCAAAGGTTTGAAAACATCTAGATGTGCTATACTCGGCCTTCAAATGAAGGCTAGGAATACGGGATTGGATATTTTTACCAATAGATTTTATCCTTCTGGAGAGATAGAAAGGCAACACTCTTATTGTCCATTGTTGTCACACCATACAACCTCCCCCAAATGTGTGCTTATAAGATAAATACATGTTTATTGCTATCGTAGTACCAAATAGTGTAAATTCGAAAAACAAAATCAAAAACAAAATAGATTGATATTTATTTGCAATCGCTAATTGAGGAGTTGAATATGCTATGGAGTACTGAAATGGAAACATACGATACATCTTGAAAGAAAAACTTTATCATGAAAACAACATTATTATGGACTATAGGTCCTGAACAATTATTTATTTTCTCACATATTCTTTTAGTTGAATATAAGTGACATGGTGATACTTTTGTAATAGGTGATTTTCATGTTATTTGATTATGTCCGGGTAGGGTACTTATGAGATGATATTATTTTCCCGAAATATCATGATAAAATAGTTGTTTTCAGTCTCTCAAATGGATGCAAGCAGTCTTGGTTTTATACTCATTGTATATTTCTTTAGAATCACCTGTATCAGTACAAGAAAAAAAGTTTAAAAATTGAGTAACTGAATTGAATTCAACTCTACGTATAAAATAAATACAGAGCAACTTTTGGAGATAGATGATTGCGGGCTTAAAAGCAATTGAATTAAACACCACTAATGTAAACAAGAGCATTGCCAATGTGTGTGGAAGGAGAAAGAGAAACTCTTTTTGTGACTTACTTTATTGGAAGGATTTATTAATACAACCCAATATGAGTATTATGCACATTGAGAAAAAAATATGTTTGAAAATATATTCAACATGGTAATGAATTCGTAAGATAAGATAAAAGATAATACTATGGCATGGGCGGACATGACATTTTTTTTTTTAATAGAAAAGAACTCGAATATTACATGGTCTAACAATGCTACCCTATTACTACAAATACATTGAATAGAACTTGTAGAAATGAATTCCTTACATGGGTTGAACAATTGAAGATGCCCTATGGATTTATATCCAATCTCGGCCAATGTGTTGACATGGCGAAGTATCGTTTATTTAGGATGAAGAGTCAAGATTATCATGTTTTCATAAAAAAACATATTCCAATTGACTTCCATGAGATTTTAACTAAGAAGATTTGAGAGCCATTTACTAACTTGGAGCAAGTTCAATTTCGTCGAATATACCATTTTTTGAAGTAAAAACATCATTCCCTAATTGTATTCAAAAGTAATTTCTATTGTGTTGATTATTTTATTTTTAAATTTTTAAAATGTATCTACCATTTATTGTGATTTTCTCATAATTTTTTTTTATTTATTCTAAGATGATAATTAAAATTAAAGCCCTAAGTTGAACGGACTATCATAAATACATTTTTCATAAATGAGGCAATTTTTTTTTTTGTTTGCACAACTTTGAGAAATATGCACATACGTGTTCGAGCAATGTTTGCAAATAAAATGACGATGGCCCGACCATTGCCGCATATAGTAATAAAATATATGTTTAGCCATCTAGCTCTATTACAAGGCAAACCCAAGAAAGATTTCGATCTCCTAGATAAAGAAGTACAATCCACATGTACTTCATTCTCAATATCTTCAAATTGATTTTTTAGCTTACATTTTTCTTATGCATTGAATGTGATAGTAAAACTATTGCCTTTATGCGCACAATTTTTCATGCAACTATTTTAATGTATCTATCTATATTATACATACAAACAACGATGGACTCATGGGGTGGAGAAGGTCGGTCACTATTTTTTTTCCTATCCTAGCAAATGGGGATGCGACACATAGCCATGTTCTAATTTTCTTTTAATAAAATAAAGATTTTTCCCCAACTTATACCATTTCTCCCCCAACTTTGTTGGATCAAATTTATAATTTTCATCTAACTTTGCAATTTCAGTGTTCCTTTCTCTAATTACTCTCATTTGCATTCCCTCTCATCCGAAGCACACGATTCCAACTAAGAAGATGACATCATCATTGTACTCTTCTCCAAACGGACAAAAAAATGTTAATATTGTATTCTTTTCGTTTTAATTCAAAGTATTTCTTTTGTCATTTTCGCCTGTTTCATTTCAAAGTATCATTTTCACATTTTAGAAAAAGTAATCATACACTAATATCAACATACCTTTAACTTTTACTTAAATTACAAAAATACCATTACACATACAATTACTTTATATAAAAAGTCAAAAGATAAAAATGTCAAAATTTCTTACACCATTTCACTAACCAATAAAATACTATTATTTCTTAATCTACTACAAAATCTCAAAGGACCCATTTCAAAAGGGAGGGAGGGAGTATCTATTTTTTGGGGTTAAAAAATATATTCATAATTTTTAAGTATTGTCGATTTAGGGTTTCTATAAATTTGCAAGTATTGTTTTTTTTTTTTTTTCTCAAGACTTATGGTTTAGGATTAATTTTGGAGATTTATATATATTGCAGACTAAGAATAATCTTTTTTTTCTTCTCTGGAATGTCCTAAGACTTAGGCTAGAGCCGGTCCGCTTATCGGCTCGGGGCACGGGTGTTGCAGATTTGAAACAATTTTATTGTGCTAAAATTGTAGGTCATCTTCTCTGGATTTCGTTAATTGGTAGATACTCTATAGTTTTCTAGGTTCGGAATGTTTTGAGATTTCTTCATAATTGTTAATTTAGGATTTATTTTTGAAATTTATGTATTAAATAAAAATTAGTAAGAACTTAGTTAATTCTCTTAAAATCTCTAACTCTTAATTATTCTTTGTCAATCGCTACCTATAAATTCTTCCATTTAAACTCCATATTATTCCAGATAGCTCCCTATTTATAAATTTATTATATAAACATCATATTTTACCCTTTAAATAATATTTTATTTACTTTTTTGTTCTCACTCTCATACAATCTAAAAAAAATCAATTTATCTATTTTCACATGCCGATTATTTTAGTTACAAAAATAAAAAATTTGTCAAATGAAGATTTATATTTTTAAAATTTATTTTCAGTATTTTTCTATACTGTAATCAATACTTTAAATAATATTTGAAATATTTTTTATTACTTTACTGACATTTTATTCATTTGAGATACTATATCATTATAAATATATTGCATTGTTGTTTAAGGATTACGAATAAATATTTTTAACTATTTGTCATGGTATGAATATTTGTATATTAAATCAATTAACTTATTAATATTATCAATAGTATATCATACATTAGTATATAATTATTTTTTAAATATATTAGTCTTTACAACATTAATTTTTTATACTCCGTTATTTTTTTGTGCATCTACACGAGAATATATATATATATTTTCAAATAAATTACTGTACAATTAAGTTTTACTTGATGTATTATTAACAAATTCTCTTTTTAAAACTATTACAAATTTACATCATTAATGTTTTTTTTTTCTGTCAATATTTATTTCATATAGTTATTTATTTATTATATGTATAATAAAAAATTAAATTTATAAGGTAAAAATTAAAGATTTATACATGAAGATAAAATGAAAAATACAATAGATATGAGAAAAATTAAATAAGGGCATTTTAAAGTTTTTTTTTTTTTTTATTTATGACGAGAGTTTTTAGATAGATAGGGAGTGAAAATGAACAAATTCATAGTAAAGAAGAACAAATTAATGCATAAAGAGTAAATAAAAATTTGAAAATAGATATAGAGAATTTAGTGGAAATTACCCCTTAAAAAATCATCCCTGCACATAAAATTAGGGACGGTACAAATCATCATGTATATATACACGAATGTGTAGGGTAGAGGCTGGGATCTCATCTCATGGGTAGGTTGGGGCGACCAAGGAGTTGATCGTTGGTGTTCATTGTCCCGTGCGTGTGTGTGTGTGTGGCTGGCGTATGTATATACGTAGATTAGGTTGGTAGACTTGCTGCATGCATGAATGCGTTCTTGGTGCACTGTCCTGTCCCGTGGCATGTTAACTAACTAATTAACAACGCCCACCCCCTTTCTTGCATGAGACGAGACACTCGACTAAAATCGGATCTTAAAAAAGAAACTAGGAAATAGGTAAACAACATTCTTTGTTATTCCGCATGCCGCGGACGGCTTTCTTTCTTTCGCTCTGCTATTGCTCTCCTCTCTCAGAGTGGTGCATGTGCAGTGCAGGGGCTGTCAGCTTTTCCATGATTTTTGAGATAATCGTCTGCAATTCTGTACAAGATATCCTCAATGTTCAACTATATCAAGAAGCTCCCAAATGAATGAATTAATGTATATGATGTATAATCAGCCATGCCCACGAATACAGGTTTTTACTTCTTCCCAACAAATTACAACAACACGATGCATGCACCACTCTTGACGATTTGGGGGCAAGTGCAAGTAGTGTACACATCCAATGCACACTTCACCTGACCGTATGTGCTTGGAAAGCCCTCTAGTCGGGTGTTGAGAAACTTTCCATCTACAAATTGCTAGCTTTTGCAATTATGATCCTTTCTTTTTTCAGTTGAATGACTCCATTTTCTGCCATTCTGGACTCTCCATTGTAAATAAAAATCCATCATAAAAAAAATGCATGTAGCTGGATAGCAGCTAATAGTATGAGAAATATATGGTAACATCGCAAATACCAGAATATATAATATAAATAAATTAACCAGACTTCACCGCAGTTCTGACGGCAAACATCAACAATGCTATTACTCCTCTCTACGTAGTAGCATTAATCCCCATTACCAAGTTAAAACATTTCACAACTGCATCATTGATTCCAGCTACTTTGCCCAATGTCCAACACCAGGAACATAGAGAGGGGTGGGAACGGTAAAACTCACAACTCTTATGCATCATGAATTAGCAGGAATCATCCCCCTTATGGCCACAAGGAAGAATTCAGTGGCTATGCACTGGTATCAGAACCGTATTGTGACACTACCCTCTCATCGATATTTCTTAGAAGACAAACACATACACCAAATGACAAAATGCAATTAATAGCAGCACAGACATAATATTTATGGAAATAAAATAACCTTAGGTTACAAACCAGTAGAGAGTATGGTGATATGCCCGCACACCGTATGGTGCCTTGTGCACATGCAAAGCAGCTCTTCACAGTCAGGCACTTAATGACATGGATACGACTGAAGACAATTTATACTTGTGGTGCTTTATAGAATTTTGTGGTTGAAAAACCACCTCAGTACTTGATCGAACAGTCACTTCCTGCCACTCAGAAGGCCCCAAAGATTCTTCAGCACGGTAATCACGAGGAGCATACAAAACTTGGACGGTTGAATTAGCTACAAATCAGCCAAATAGAGGTACTTAACATATATTCAATCTAATGCAAATTTCTCTACATTAAAAACTATTTATTAGAAGATGCTACGGAATTACCAAAACCGAACATGCTTATCTTCCGAACACTCAGGTGACTAACTTTTGATCTTTTGATCTTTCTTAGTTTCTGAAGATCATCAGGTTTCCCTTTAAATTCGATGAACTCTCCTAATACGTACTTGCTGCCTCTGAGCTCTAACCTGCCTCATATGCAACAAAGAATCAGTTCTGAAATGATATCACCAAACATGACAGGCTATGCCCAAACATGCTCATCGCAAAACAGAATTATTTGAGCTATTATCAGTTAAAATTACCCATGTATCTTCTCAAGTCATTCAAGTAATACTCAGACAAGCATAAATATATATATACACACACATAAACAACTAAATGAACAATACACACCAAAAAATTGTCCATAAATAAATTTTAAATTCCATTAGGCATAACAATTCCACATAACCCTAAAAATGTAAACAAAGGGCATTTGTCATTATTAATCAATCTGGCAGATTATGATGGAAACTAAGGAATGTATAACAGGTGAAATCAGCCATGAACATCAGAAATGGTTAAATTGATAATATATCACCTGAAAATCATAACGCCGTTGTAAATGGGCTGTAGGACAAAGGTACAATATTTAATTTAACACAACCCTAATGCTGATATTAAGATGTTTGCTTTCCAACCAACTTAAAACAAAAAGTGAGAACTATCTGTCATAGTTGTATAATCATGACGATGAAGTAGCAACAAACCGATCAGAAATTGGAGCAGTGCCAAGGACAGAGTTGAGTTTTTCACGAAACGACTCCTGCATTTTATCTTTTCTTCCATGAAGTATACCTTTGATCCATCCAGAAGACAATTTGCTATGCTCAGGTTTTAATCTTGTCCACTGATCATAAGTGATCACCTCAGGTGGAAAAGAGTCTGAATGTATTGGACTGCACAAAGCATAAGAGAAGTTGAAACCATACAATGAATTTTTAACTGATAAACAGATATAGTGCTATGGAAAGTAGTATTATTAGGGCTAAGCCTATAAGGTTTAAGCCTGTTCCTTTTTTATTAGCCCAAGTATTGACTATAAATAGGTACTAGGGTTATAATTCCATTATTAACCAGGATTTTAGTTTTGGATTAAAGGTTATTGGCTTGCAATAGGGAAAATTATCTCTTTAGTATGACAGGAAGAAAATACCTCTATTTCTTTGATTGTTCAATGTTTTTCAATTAAGACTATTAGACTATTATGTTCATGACATATAGCCTTTGACGTGGTTAAATAGAAAGTGAAAATCATTTCGACTTGAATTCTTCCAAAAGTCACAACATGTGATATACAACCGTGACAGTGCTGGCAGTTTCTATCTGATAGCATCTAAAAAGAGAATTATATAAGCAATCCCTGCTAGGAAGACAAATCCTTCTAAAATAGTGACACCACACCATGTTGGATATTCATATCTAAATTCTTGTATGCCTTCTTGAATTAACTTCTCCACAGTGGATACTCTACCAGAAATTCATACTGATACCAGCTAACATTTTCTCGTCAACCAACAGTTCCAATGTGTTATCGACCGGAGCAGAGTAAAGAACAATATCGAATCAGGCCCCCCCTTGCCTTGAAAGAATTCACATGCGGCCGCCAGCCTTCCCAAAATAAGGGGAGATTTGCTGCTTACTGCTCAAGGAAACATCTGAACTATACTAAGTTCGCCTATCTTTCTGATCTCCTGTCCTTCTATTCATCAGATTTTTTGCTTTGACAACCAATTCAAGGTTCAGTTCTTTCAGCTTCTGTATTTACTCAAATGTAATTATCTACTAGATTAAATCTCCCATTAATTCCTAGATTAACTCATGTAATTATATCCTATTTTAGCTCCCTATGTTAGCTCCTTCACTATCTCCTCAATTAGCTCACGTTGTAATTATCTGCCTAGCTTGTCCTTTATATGTACCTTGTGCATCAATGAGAATCACCATCGTGGCATTTTTCCAAATCATTTCTCCTTTCATGGTATCACCCTAAAATCGGCTCTAACCTTTCTTCCTCTTCTCTACACCCATGGGAGACATCCACAGAAATGCAGCTGGAGCTAATGCTGCTCCTGATGTGGTTGCTAGTGCCCTGGTTATCTGTATCCTGCTTCAGCACTATCCATGATCAATGTGCACTTGGTACAGCAGGTTCCAGGCCTTCATACTCTCCATTGGCTTCCACAACTCCAAGTGTAACACAATCCCTCTTCATCTACAACAAAGGCTCTGAGACCATCTACTTGTTATTTGTTGATAATGTTATCTTCACTGCCTCTAAATCTGCTCTTCCGTACTGAGTCATTGCAGCTCTTCAACAGGAGTTTCTGAAGTCTAATTTCGGTGCCCTACACTACTTCCATGGAATCACTGCTCATCGCCCACCTCAGGGCATTTTTCTCTCACAAGAGGACATATGCCATTGAAATACTTGAACATTCCAAAATGACCCAGTGCAAACCTTTTTAACACCCATTTACGTCCGCTCAAAGCTGTCATTCAAAGCTGGTGATCCTAGGAACATCTCTCTCTAACCCGGCCCGACATCACTCATGTGATACAAATACAACAAGTGTGTTTACATATGCATGAGCCTAGGAACATCGCTCTCTTGGAAAGAGAACTTTGAGGGATGTAAAAGGCATACGGCGTGGTCTTCAGCTATCTCGTAGCTTTGTGCATGCCCTCATAGTACTTCAGGCGACAATCACATCTCATGGTCCTCCAAATAGCAACACACAGTATCTCACTAGTGTTGAGGCTGAATACTGTGGAGTGGCCAATGTTGTTGCAGGAGGTCAGTTTCTAGCCGAACTCCACCAACCTCTCAACAAGGCTACAGTTGTCTATTGTGACAACATGAGCGCAGTCTACCTCTCCACTAATCCGGTGCAAGATCAACATGCCAAACATGTTGAGATTGATCTACAATTTGTCCGCAAATGCATAGCCCTTGGAGACATCCATGGGTTTCATGCTTCAATCTCCATTCAATACGTGGAAATCTTCACCAAGGGGCTTCCGGCTGCCATCTTCAATGATTTTGATCTAGGCTCAATTTCCACTCCTCTCCCATTTGACACTGCAGGGGTCTGTTAGAATTCATCCATGTTTATTTAGGCGTAATTATCTCCTAGATTAGCACCCTTTTTAATTACTAGATTAGCTCCACAATTAATTCCTACATTAGCTCCTTTATTATCTCCTCGATTAGCTCATGTTGTAATAAGTGCCTAGCTTGTACTTTGTATATACCTTGTGCATTATGAGAAGTACTATCATGGCATGCCTTTTAGTGTGACTTGCATTGTCGAGTCTCGTTTGCAGACTATTAGGTTCAACTAGAGGTTTACCAAAACGCGACTGCGGGTTACCACGTTATTAAGAAAAAGAAATAAAATAAACTTTAAAAAATCCAAAGATCATATAATTTTTAGGTGACCTGAACATGTTTGGGAAAGGTGTAAAGTTTACAGTCCAGTGACATACATGGAACATAATAAAAATTATTTGAACCCTGCTTATGAAGTATAAAGATGATTACACAGAACATATGAATCCAAACTCCCCGAGTCACTGCAGCATTAGTTTTGGAGAAAGGGGAAACAAACTAACCTGAAAAATGGGTTTGGGCATACCACTTTAAAAGACAAATATCCTTCTGGAATAGCAACTCCCCTTTGCTCAAGATATTCTTCAAGAATGGAAACTAAATGTTTGGTTTCAGCAACCTGAATTGGAAAGATTTACAATGTTGGTAAAAGGCCAAATGAATTACCAGAGAAAGATAAAGTGGAAAGGGTGTTTACAGAATGCATAAGAAAGATTATTTTGAGCTACATATTTCAGGAGGTGATTGCTGTCGAGAAGGATAAACTATATGGTATTTTCTAATAATAAGAAGAAATGAAAGCTCATAAAGATGGCTCATCTCCAGGGTTTATCAGCTGTCAAGAAGCAAAGCAATTATATTCCAAGGTCTCATACAAGCCCAACAACAGGTGATAACTGTGAATTCAGCCTAATGGGACTGATTGGAATCCAAGCAAAAGTAGAAAATAAAAATTATATGTAAATAACTTAGATCATTTTTTACCCTTGAAAATCATGCAAGCTATGCGAAACCTTAAAAGAAGATGAATAGTATATGCCTTAGATGTGTTGTCCTCATATGATGTGTCTGCATGACTGCATGCATTATTTATTCTGATCACATAACTAATCACAGTAGGTATCAGTTTATGATTTTTATTAAACAAACATTAACTTATTCCTCCATTACTAATCAAACTACTCTACAATGGTACATTCATGAAACACATATATAACTGGTCTCAGAGAACGAGGAGGAACAATCTTATTTATATATTTGTTTTTGGTGAGTAAATGTAAATGAATACAAGAGTCAAAAGAGAAGTATTAAACTAGAACTACTAACTACGCCCAACGAAGTCTCAAAAGAACTAGCTCATAGTAATCAAAATCTTGCCAGACACATAATACACAGAGTCATAGACAAAGTTTATAGCGACTGAGTAATCATAACAGTAGTTTTTGTCCTAAGAAATAATCATTCCAGCCTTCACAACCTAGAGTGCGCAAAAAAAAAAAAAAAAAAAAAAAGGAACTCTCAACAAGAAACGAGAATCAACTTACAGGATTTTGAATACATTCAGTTTTATGGTGCTTTCCAGTGCAAATCCAATTGCCATCCTCATCAAGTGACACAACACCAGAAACATTCTTAACAGAGATCACCACTACCTCCCTGCAGTAAGACAATATATAACCACCATTTACAACCAAGAACATTTCATTTCTTTCAACGATTTCATAGAGAATAAAAAGTAGATTTCCTTCTTCGCTTCTCAGTAAAAAACACGTATCCATATACATCAGTAAAACAATATATTGACACGAATTGAGGGGAAAAAAAAGGAGAAAGTAAGTACTCGTTAGTGACGAGAACAAGATCAACATTCCGGCGAGAAGCAGAATCAAGATCTGGAATCTGGATGCCAACATATACTCTGCCTCCGCGATAGAGCTTCTCCAGCCTGTGCTCGACAAAACAAAATCCATACAGTAAATTAGTAAAAACGAAAGAAAAGAATCAGGGAGTTGAAATAATTAACCTTTTGGCGACGGTAAAGAGGGCACTAAAATGGGAATCGTCCGAATCGCGGAGGGTGTCGTCATCGTAGAAAAAGAGCTTCACCATAAGGCAGAGAAACAAACCGCAAACCAGCGCTACCCACATCTTGATCTTATTCTCGGGAGCCGCCTCGTTTCAGTATTCCCCAACGCTTTCTTTGGCTGGTGGAGTTCTTAGATTTGATGTTCTTCAGTCTAGAGTGATGACGAGAAGAAAGCACTTCTTCTTGGACTGTATAGATTGATCCGGCCACAGAGTAGCTTACTTTGGGTCAAGCGGTTGCTATATAGTTTTTATCAAACAAAATCTTAAACTTTTTTTTTAGTTACCGGAAATCCTAACTCCAACTTCACTATTGTTCTACAGCTTTATTATTTTTCGATCAATATTGCCATTAAACTATCCGTTGATCCAGTCATTTTTTGGCCACCGAACTACCACCATCGTTTCCATCAACTCAAAAACCCTGAATTTCGTTACTCGCACCGCCGTATTGTTGCAGAAGACGCTGGAAATGCCCCAATCAAAATATGTCAAAAATTGCATCGCCGGAAAACTGCCCCTCTAGTGGTTTCTCTTTCGGTTGAGGAGACACTTCTCCCGACAAATATCCCTTCGTCAATCAAAAGTCTCCTTCGTGGATGCATATAGTCTCCCGACTTTCCATTTCATGTAAAAAGCTTCACCTTCTTATTTTTCGTGACACTTAGTATTAATATTACTTAGACTTAATAGGTTTAGTATTGCTTGGTTGATGTTGATAACTTAGATATGTTGTCTTTGGCATTTGATACTTAGACTACCTTGGCTTGTTTGGTCTGTTTTGTTTGACTTAAATTGTATAGTGTGTATCAACAGAACTACGTATAGCTTGATCCCGTTTAGGTACGTAGGCAGCCCACTTTGGGTGCAGCCATTGCTATATTCTTTTTACCAAAAAAACCCTAAACCCTAAACCATCTACCGATTTTTCAGCCACCGGAAACCCTAACCCTGACTTCACCACTGTTCTTCCACCGCTTCAACATTTTTCGATCAACACTGTCATTAATCTATATATTGATCCAGCCATTTTCCGGCCACCTTACTACCTCCATCGTTTACATCAGCCCAAAAAACCCCAACTTGCTTACTCGCGCCGTAGAAGGAGCTCGAAATATCCTCGATCAAAATCCGTCAAAAACTGCATCGTCGAAAAACTACACCTTGGCGGTTTCTCTTTCGATTAAAACGACACTTCTTCTGACAGATATCCCTTCGTTGATCAAAAGTCTTCTTCGACATGATGCTGATCGTATCCCGACATTCCATTTCAGGTAGAAGGCTTCACCCCCTTACTTTTTTTTTGTGATACTCAGTGTTGATATTACTGAGACTTGATAGGCTTAGTACTGCTTGGTTGGTGCTGATGCCTTAGGTATATTGCCTTTGGCCTTTGATACTTAGACTACATTGGCTTGTCTGGTCTGTTTTGTTTGACTTGGACTGTATAGCATGTCTCAGCAGAACTACGTATGGCTTGATCCCATTTGGGTACGTAGGCAGCCCACTTTGGGTGCAGCCTTGCTATAAAGTTTTTATCCAAAAACCCTAAACCTAAACTATCCACCGATTTTGCAGCCACCGAAAACCCTAACCCCAACTTCACCATTGTTTTTCTGCCGCTTCATCATTTTCCGATCAAAACCGCCATTAAGCTATCCGTTGATCCAGCCTTTTTCCAGCCACCGCACTACCACCATCGTTTTCATTAGCCTTAAAAACCCCCAACTAGGTTACTCGCACCGCCGTATCGCCGCAGAAAGCGCTGGAAATACCTCCGATCAAAATACATCAAAAATTGTATCGCCGGAAAACTGCCCCTCTGGCGGTTTCTCTTTGGATTGAGCAGAAAGTTATCCCGAAAGATATCCCTTCGTCGATCAAAAGTCTCATTCGAGCGGATGCAGATGGTCTCCCAACTTTCCATTTTAGGTAGCAAGCTACACCCTCTTGTTTTTTGTGACACTTAGCGTTGATATTACTTAGACTTGATAGGATAAGTATTGCTAGGTTCGTGTTTATACCTTAGGCATGTTGCCTTTGGCCTTTGATACTTAGACTACCTTGGCTTGTCTGGTCTATTTTGTTTAAGTTTGACTGTATTGCCTGTATCAGCAGAACTACGTATGGCTTGATCCCGTTTGGGTACGTAGGCAGCCCACTTTGGGTGCAGCCATTACTATATAGTTTTTACCAAAAAAAACCCTAAACCCTAAACCATCTGCCGATTTTTCAGCCACCAGAAACCCTAACCCTCACTTCACCACTGTTGTTCCACCGGTTAAACATTTTCTGATCAACACAACCATTAATCAATCCGTTGATCCAACCATTTTTCGGCCACCGCACTAGCAAAATCATTTTAACCACCCGAAAAAACCCCCAACTTGCTTACATTCACCACGGTATCGCCGCAGAAGGAGCTCGAAATATCCCCGATCAAAATCCGTCAAAAACTACATCGTCGAAAAACTGCACCTTGGCGGTTTCTCTTTCGATTAAAACGACACTTCTTCTGACAGATATCCCTTCATTGATCAAAAGTCTTCTTCGACAGGATGCAGATGGTTTCTCGACATTCCATTTCAGGTAGAAGGCTTCACCCCCTTACTTTTTTTTTGTGATACTCAGTGTTGATATTACCGAGACTTGATAGGCTTAGTACTGCTTGGTTGGTGCTGATGCCTTAGATATATTGCCTTTGGCCTTTGATACTTAGACTACATTGGCTTGTCTGGTCTGTTTTGTTTGACTTGGACTGTATAACATGTATCAGCAGAACTACGTATGGCTTGATCCCATTTGGGTACGTAGGCAGCCCACTTTGGGTGCAGCCTTGCTATATAGTTTTTACCAAAAAACCCCTAAACCCTAAACTATATGCCGATTTTTCAGCCACCAGAAACCCTAACCCTCACTTCACCACTGTTGTTCCACCGGTTAAACATTTTCTGATCAACACCACCATTAATCAATCCGTTGATCCAACGAGATACTGCTGGCCGAGTCCGTCTCGATCCAGAGAGGGAGGAGGCCGCGTGCAACCGCCAGGTCCACTCCAGATCGAATCGCCTGCAGTTCGGCCAAAGTGTTCGTCGTATCCAAAAGGGGGACTTGGAATGCCACAAGTGGGGCGCCGGTGGCATCCCGAATGACGCCCGCGGCTCCAGCGGCGCCTGGATTCCCGAGCGATGCCCCATCGGTATTGAGTTTGAACCATCCTGGAGACGGAGCTTCCCAGCGTACCATGACCGGCGGCCGAAGAACCGGAGGTGGGAGGCGAAGGCCGAGACAAGAGGCTAGGTGCACCTCCCCAGGCCAGTGCTGACGCTGAAGGAGGCCAGCACGGCCTAAGACCTGCAAATGCGAGTGAATACGCCAAATAATCCTGTCAGATGAGATCTGGATACCTCGGTGTTTGGCGTCATTCCGTGCCGTCCAGAGAAACCAGAAGGCCAGAAGTGGGATATAAGTACGGATACTCCGCGCATGTGGGGAGGACAGACGCCAAGCAGAGACCATCAGGTGTGGCGCATGTGTCCGCGGAAGTTGAAGGCGAAAAAGGTTGGCGAGATGGCGCCACACGCGCTGGGCAACCGCCGACGAGAAGAATAAGTGCTCGATCGTCTCAGACTCCCGACAACACTGGCAGCAAGAGACAATAGGGAGGCCCATCTTTCGTAAGGCCTCATCGACGGGTATCCGACGGCGAAATAAACGCCATAGGAATACCGACATTGTAGGAGTAAGAAGCGGCGACCACAAGCTGCAAGAGAGCCAACTCCGTGCTCCAACTGTTCGGCTCATCTCCCAAGCTGAGGTTGTAGAGAAAGTACCTGAGGTCGAGGCCTTCCAAATCGGCTGATCCGCAATCGGGAGATCAGAAGGGATCGCCGAGACCTGCTGAACAAGGGTTTCAGGGAGATAAGCTCGGAGGCGCGTCAAGTCCCACGTCCCGTTAACCCACATTTCTTTCACTCGTATCGGCGGAGGGCGGTCCAGGCGGTCAGTGCATAGAGGACGATCGCCACACCAAGTATCATACCAAAAGAAGCAGTCCCCACGCCCCAAATTCCAAGTGATATGAGTCTGTGCCTCGTCTCGAACCTGGCAGAGGCGCTTCCAAACTGGGCTGTCGTAGCTTCTGCAGGGTGCAAGTCCTGGAAAGGAATTCCGAAAATATTTCTGTTGAAGCGCGCGAGCCCAGAGGGAGGAGCCATCTCTGAGTCGCCACCACAGTTTAAACGAGAAGGCCCGAACCGTATCGGCCAGGCGACGAATGCCAAGCCCACCCTCCTCCTGTGGCCGTGAAATATCTGCCCAGGAGATCCAATGGCGGCGGCGGTGCCCGTGATAAGAACCCCAGAAAAAACGAGCAAAAAGTTGCTCCACAGAGTGAAGTACCGCCTGGGGGGGCAAAGTACCTGCAGCAGATAGAGGGGGAGCGAGAACAAGGTGCTTCTGATTAACTGTAATCGACCCCCGTGAGATAGAACCGATCGATCCCAACGCTGCAGATAACGACGGAGTTTTCCAAGGAGTTCCTCATAAAGAATATTGCGCCGATTGCCCACATAGAGGGGCGCGCCAAGATATGTGAGAGGGAGTTCAGCCGCGCCAAAACCAGTCACCGATTGGAGCTGTCGTTGAACACTCTCCGGGCACTGGCGGCTGAAAACAAGCTGGCTTTTCAGACAATTCACCTTCTGGCCAGTAATCCGTGCGTAAGTCGTCAGAAAGTCGGTCAGAAGGCTGATGCGATTGCCACAGGTATTAGCGAATATGAGGACATCATCCGCATAAGCAAGGTGCGTCAGCCGGAACCGACCACGGCACCGATAGTACAGATCCGGAAAACGGCTGTAGAGGCGCTCCAAGCCTCGTGATAAGAGATCTGCAGCCAGGACAAAAAGGGTCGGGGACAAGGGGTCTCCCTGCCTAAGGCCTCGCGAGGAGGGGAAGAAGCCACCCAAGTCCCCATTCACAAGGATCGAGTACCAAGCATGCTCAACACAGTTCATAATCAAAGTGATGAAATGAGCCGGGAAACCGAACCTGGAAAGGGCGTGCCGCAAGAACCGCTAGGACACCCGATCATACGCCTTGTTAAGGTCCAATTTCAGCAATAAATTGTGCGAGTCCCCTCTCAGATTAAGATCATGGACCATCTCCGATGCTAACAGGATATTGTCCGCAATCGCGCGGCCTTTGACAAAGCCGCTCTGATGCGGTGATAG